AGAGAGAGAGAGAGAGAGAGAGAGATTATTGAATCTTTTAAATAAACAAAACTTATGGCAAATGCTTAATCAATTCATGCAGTTCATAGACTGCGCTTTTAGGTTTATAAATATATAAATTCTTGATTCGAAGCTGCAGCTTAATTACGTAGCAAGATCTATTCTATACAGTGAATAATGGCAAATTAAAAGGGACCGAAGCAGAGACAGTGAGAGAGGCTTATTTGAGCCAAACGTGCTTTGGTTAAAGATACGCTTTTGACAATATTCTAGTAATCTGGAACAATCAAGATTAAGATTAACATTATATGCTTCGATTCAGGACACATTCAGATATATGCTATATACACTATATAGATGGATAGTTAAAACTATGAAACACTTTAGGCTCAGAGACAAGTCTGTGGCAAAGCAACTTGCCAAAAGTAGTCGACTTAGTTCTACAGACTTATCAGGCATATATTAAAATACATAAGCTTGTCCTGTATTCTAGCTGCCCTTGTTATTGCCTTGCTGTAGCACGCCGCTGTTTTTGCTCACCTTAAAGGTGCTGGCGAGCATATCCTTGGCGGTTGCACCCGTCGCCTTGAAGTACTCGATGAGCGCCGTAAACGTGCCCAACAGGCTGAGCGTGGTAGCAGCCACTTTGCTTTCGCCGGCTGCTGGTAGGTCCAGTTCCTGGAAATTTCTCGACAATCCATCAATATATTCGCGCAGCATCCACTGGCGGCGCGGATAATCCTGTTGCTGTTCGGGCACGTTCTTCCACGGCATAACCATATAGCTGACCAAGCTGATGTGCACATTGATGCAGACTTGGCGCGGCAATTGGCCGCCGAGGCGTGGTCCCGCCTGCATTAGACTCTGGATTTCGGGTATATCCAATAAGCATTTGGGTCGTATCACAGTCGCTATGAAGAGCAGCACTTCGCTGGCCGCCTGCTGCACAATGGGCGAGGCAGCCGATGGCGAGTTGTTGCCCGCAAATATGCTCCCCAATATGGCAAACAAACGATGCAGCAGCTGTTCGCTGTTCAGGGACTTGGACATCGGAAAGATGCTGCGTATGGCCAGTAGAACTTGTGCATAACTATTAAAATACAAAAGGTATAGATATATATGATTAGGGATTCCATTAGTCTGGCTCTGGCTAACCTACAGATTATCCAAGTCCATTTGAAAGCTCGCCTTATCCGAGTCGCTGCCGCCGACTCGATTGCTAGCCAACAGCTGCAACGTTTGCAGCAAACGATCTGAGAGCACATGCAACTGCCTCTCCATCTCATCAACCACATCCGCTGACGCCTGTGCCGTATCCATTAGTGGAGCCAACCGCACCACCGCTTGGCATACAGTTGCAAAGTCTCTCAAGATTTCGCCAACATTTGCGAGCTTCAATTTGCGTGCCGCCTCATAGCAGCGACCGCTGCCATGATCCAGTGCCAGCTCCAGCGACAACAGATATGTCTGGGGGCGCGACCAGTGGGCGAAGACCTGAGCGAAGACGATGTGGGCGCCGCGCGTGGTCGCCAACAGGGCCAAGCACTCGAAGCACTGGTCCAGAAACTGTTGCCATTCCGTTGTGGGCGTCTGCGAAAGCCGCATATGCAAGTTAATACAAATTATGGACAATTCACAATTTACAATGCAATTCACAATTCAATTCAAACTGAAGCTGACTTAAATATATTTGATTTAGTTACGCACATCATCCTCCATAAGCTCGTTGTCGAGTAGCTCCAGTTCGGGCTTATTGATCTCGAACTGTGTGCGTCGCATTATCTCATCGACCAGCTTCGTCATAATCTCGCCATGGTGAGCACTCAATTGTGCTGGTTGCTGGCCAATGCCCTTGATGATAGGCGTCCAGATATCCAGTTTTTCGGTAAAGTCCAGAGCGCCATGCACTGTCACCAGCAAACAGGATTCAAATTGGAAACAAGTTGAGAGGCCGAGTTCGATGTTCACTTACATTTGGTGGTGCAGCGATAGAGCTGGTCGAGAAATGAGTCAAGCATTTCCGGCTCCTCCATCATTTTGCCCGCATATTTGGTGCTATACAAGCGCAACAGTTCGCGAAACTTATCGCTATACATTTCGCTTTGATGCTTAACGCTATTGTGCTGCTCCAGCAGTCCGCTGACTCCGTTCATTAGCGTGAACGCAAAGGGCAGCGGCTTCTGCAGATAGAGCAGCTCATTCAGCACTGAGAGTGCGCCCAGCGAGATGTTCTCGTTCGCCTGCCGCCATTGCGATAAATCGAGTATGCTCATTAGGAAATATTCAGAGATCAGATCGGTGCGTATCCAGGAGACCAAGTGTTGTACACAGCTCAGCAGCTCCAGCACAGAGGAACTGAAAAACCAAAGGCAAAACACGAAAAGTTAATAAACGCCTTTCAAATAGGGCTATTTCTCAATCGTATTGTCTTCCACTTGTTATGTTAGTCAGCATAACACACTCTTATATAAATCATATTATTCAGAATTTCCTTTACTTAACCGGAAACTTTTTAATAGTCTAAACTTCTTAAATTCAATTTCTTATAAAAGAAAAGCCACAGCTGTGTGGCGGGTTTCGTCCAATTCCAATAAGAATCAAGTGAATCTGATACGCCAGTGAGAACTTGGAACATTAGAAGCATACGGCACAGCTCCCGTTTATCGGCAAATTTTTAGTACACCCAGTCTAAAATTTCTCCTACTTTCTGGCAAATAAAGTCAAAGCTGAATTGTGGAATTTGGTTTAAGCAATTATCGATAACGTTTCAAAGATAATTTTACCTATAACAACCAGATGTAAGTGTATTATGGTGATTCCCTTATGTCAAGAGAGTTCTTAACCAAAATCAAATCTGAAATATGCGCTTTACATAGTCAAAAAGCTAAGTTCCAATTCTTATCGATAACTTTCAGCAAGTTAATTTTTAAAAAGAAACTACAAAAATCGTTCAAATTGTATACTAATCTATTTTTAAGCGAATGCTTTAAGAAATATGAAGAAACTATTGAAAATACTATCGATTTATTATCGATAACTAAGTTTGTCTAAGAAGCGTTATTAAGTAATTAAAATCAATAATTATACAAATTTGCACTAAATTTTTAAAGCTTTTGTCCTTTGTTAATCATTATCAACGAAACACCTGTTGCCTATCGATAACTATTTAAATGGAAATTGGTCTAAATGGACAGTTTAAGTACTTGTTACTGGACATCATATAAAGCTAGGCTTATCTGAAAGCATTTCCTAACTTAATGCTATCGGAAATATTTTAGAAACTATTGAAAATGTTATACATTAATAAGTTATCGATATCTAATATTTCTTTGCAATTTTGTTTGTATAGAGAAAAAAGTATTCAAAATTAACTTTCATTGCTGTAGAAATCTGCTCGATCAACAGTTGACTATCGATAACAGATAAATTAGTATAGACGAAGCGCCCCTGATTAAGGGTTTAACTTGATTAAAACATACCTTAATTGATTGTCATTTGGCAGCGCTGTGGTCAGACTGTAATCCATGAATGTGCTAGGTATGGTCGTATGAATGTCTTTGCCATTGATATGGCAAACGGCGATTAACAGATATTTGGTGAGCAGGTCCAAAACATCGGGTATACACATGGAAATGCTACACAGAGCAAACATATATATATAGACATTTAACAATTATTAAGTCACATGCAAGATTTAACACAGAATTTATAGATAAATATTTGTGGAGCTGTGAGCTTACCACGAGTGAAAGTATTGCTTCCATTCACTAGTGAGGTCGCCGCGATTGCTAACCACCTCCTCGGAGGTGACGCGCAACAGATTGATGCCAAGACAGAATCTTGTCTTTGTCAGCTCCATGCAATGCTGCATATAGTTGGGATGCTGTTCCGGAAATTCTCTTTTCCCAAGCAGAGCAATCAACTGCGCTAGCGTATCGCGATGCCGGCGTGCTCCGGTGACCACCAATAGCTGTGCGTAGCTCTGCCACAGCGTCTCCCTCAACAACGTTCGATCGGCCGCTGTCAGCTGTGTCCATCGACGCGTTATCGTATGCTCCAATGTTGAGGTGCTGAAGAACCATAGGAATTGATTCTCTGTGAAGCTGTTGCTGGCTGTCGCAACACGCAAGCACAGCTGCCAGGCCTCTGGCTGTGACTTGAATGCCAGCAAATTGGTCTCAATCTCGCGTTTACGTGCATTGCTCGTCGTCGGCTGGTAGAACTCATTTAGCAGCACCTCCACCGACGTCATCGATGCGGCATGCTGCACGATGATGATGACGCATTGCATTAATATTGTCGCTATTATGTATTGCACATTTAGGACAACCAATTCGTTGACTCTTCCCCTTTTTATGCATTTTTTTGCCTATTTTTCACATTTTTTTTTTTGCATATTTTTTCGTCATTTTTTCACTATTTTTCTCTTGAGTTTTTTTTTTGGGTACTTTCATCGGAGTGGTTGGCCTTAGACACTTACCATTTTGCTGGCGTTTGCTGTATGTGTGTGCGATGTGTATGTTTGGTTTTTGTGCTCGGTGCTAGCGTTGATATTTGTTTGGTGTGCATTAGCAATTGTTTGCCGTGAATTTCATGATTTTTATTTTAAATTTTTATTTTACTTTTTTATCAATTTTCTTTGTGTATATACGACTTGCACATATCGGCAGCGTTGCCAGTGCAATGCAAGCGTTGCCACATAGCTAAAATGTCATGCATTTAACATAGCTGCTCCCAGTTAACATAATTTAACTAGTATGCTGTTCATAGTATGGTAACCATAACTTAAATAATTACAACATTTTATTACGTTTTTGAGATAAAAATGTGTAATTTGTTCTATATGTTAAAACGCTATGTTATTCATATGATTATTTCAATTAATGTATTGAGCTGCGTACCAGTCTTATCAGCAGGGACGATTTTTAGTCAGCTAATTTGAAATTTAACAACTATCGAATATCAGTTTCATATCGATTAATATTTACAGTTTGAGTTGAGCATAACAGCTGGAAAGCTGAAGACGACAGCTAACCAGAAACGGGAGAAACCGAAAGAAAACGGATGGAGCGATAGCTATCGCAGTGAATTTCATAGATAATTAGATAATAAACAGTTGTCGCTGTCGAGTAAGTAAGAGAAAACAACAACAAACCTAAAAAAATGCACAGGCGTTTGGTGCATACAACAATGTGGAGAAGTATCGAAGCGTAAAAATCAAAGGCGGCGCCAGCCACACGAACAACACAACAACAATAAGGCGGAGAAATCATAATAAAAGGTATCCCCCTCATGGCCAAACGAAATGCAAACATTTATTAGCGAAATACTACAAATTGCACTTTAACTATTTATTAGCAAGAGGTCTCGCAATTTAATATAATTTACGTATGTGTGTGCGTTTGTGTGCTGTTTGGGGTGCTACCTAGAAACAATAACATACAGTAATTGGAGATCGCTGCGCTCCTTTGCGAGGAATTCTGTTGTTGTCATAGCTGGAGTTGTTTTCCACCGTCTTCAAAATTTGGTCATGGTACGCCCAATATTGCTCTTACGTATGCACCTCGTACATATATTTATCAATGTATGCGCATACATATATGTGCATGCATGTATGCGAGCTTGTAGGCAGCCCTTGCAGTTTTGTTTTGCCTTCTGACTGTATTGCTCTCTACTCTCTCATTCTCTCTCTTTTGCTCCAAGAGTGTTTCGCACAAAGTCAAAATAGCCGTTGTAATTTGGTTTATCATTTGTTATTTTTGCTTTTTCCTTTTTTTGCTTTTGTCTCTTAGCTTCTATACTCTAATAATTGCAGGCCTATCAGTCGATATGTTAGTACTACAGCTAGACATGCTTGCAATTTTGAAAGCGTATGTATATGCATGTGCGTGCATGTGTATCCTTGCTATTATCTTTCTTTATTGTTGCTGCCTACTCTGCTTCCGACATGCTGGTGCTGCAAATTGTTTGTGAATAGTTTTAATTACGGCCATAATTGTTAAAAATAACTGTTATACAGAATATGTCAAATTGGTATTTCTCCGTTGCTTATTTACATATGTATGTATGTATGTCTTTGTGTTTTCTTGTTTTTGTCTGCTCTCCTTCTACTACGCACTTTGCTTTTGCATGCTTATTGCGTTGTGTTTATGATTTCTTTTCGTTTTTGCCTTTGCTTTTGCGTTTTAAATCTTATCAGCAGCAACGGAAATGTTACACACACCAATACAAGCGCAAATACATACACACATACGCCTGTATGTGCTCGCTATACGTCTGAAAGCTTTTACAAACATTTTGTTTATTTATTTTAATTTTATTTTTCTTCACCATTTTTAATTGTCGTTGGCCTTAGCCCATATTGGCCAACCCACCGTTAGCCCATATTATGCCTCCTCCTCCTATTTCCCTCTTCCCTTTCTTTATTTTCGCTTGCCTCATTATGCACTTGGGTAGACTTTAATGCGCAGTCAATGACCGTGTGGCCTGAGGGCTGCTTTGTGTGTAGAGTGGGGGAGTGAAAGAGAAAGAAATAAAGAGTCTGAGGAGGGTTTCTATAAAAAGTTGTTAGTGTATAGAGCAAACACCTTCTTGAAAATTCACAAATTGCTGCGTGCTTATAAGAACTTTGTTGTGCATGCAACTTTACACTGCTGCGCGCACACACACAGACATGCATGCATGTGCATGCGTTTGACCCCGTTAGTTTCACACTTAAATCAATTTCCCTTGCAGTTGGTTTGCATAGCTTCAAATTTTAAGCCTATAATTGAGCTGGACTGGAACAGTGCTTTGGAAGGGCTTTTTTGCAAGTGTGTGTGTGTGCATATGAGTAGGGGGATTAGTGGAAAGTGGAGGTACACACTTACTTGTGCGTCATGGCGAGCTAAGCACGAAACGTTTGTTGGCAAATGAAGGGCATTGAGAGCTTCGGCGTTGCCCGATTGTCTCATGCGCTTTGCAACTGTGTTTGTGTGTATGTGCTGCATTTAGCGTCGTGTGCTTTACAGCTGCTGTCCTTGATTATAGCTTTTCTCTGCTTGGCAGAATTGTGGGGACTGGTTGCTGATGTTGTTATTGTTGCTTCTTCTGCTTCTACTGACTCTTTCGCCTAATATTGTTTGCACAGTTTTGTTATTGTTGTTGTTGCTGTTTGGTTTTGGCTCTCGCTTTGTTAGTATGATTTTTCTTTGTACATGTGCTTTGTGGGAGCCTCTCTCGCACGCGCTCTCCCTCTCTTGCCTGCTCTGTCTACTCGCTAGCAGGTTAGCGCGTTGCGTTCGCTCTCACTCTGTCATTCGCATTAGCCTGGGCTGCTCTGTTTTATCTGCACTCTTTTTTATTCTCTCTCTCTCTCTCTGTCGCTTTGCCTCAGTTGTGCGCGAGTTCTCTCCCTCGCAGTCGCTGCCGCTGTCGCTGCCTCTGCTTGTGCTGCTTCTTATGCTGCTTTCAGATGTTCGTGCGCTGCTCGCTGGGGGCTTCCAAACTCTGTTGCCAGTTAATTTTCAGTAACTAGTTGAAGTAGACAACAAAATATATATTTATATATATATCCATATACAAAACAAGAGCAAAATCAAATCAACGACCAAAGCTGCACGAAAAAAATTACAGACAATAACAAATACGACCCCAAAACCAGCACCAATAAAAACAACAACAAAACGGCAGCAAACAAAAGTAAACCATTAACAAAAAAAAAAAAAAATAAAACAAAAGACAAAGCAAAGCAAACGAAAAAGTAAAATAACAACACGAGTGTGTTATCTCTTTACATGTGTGCGTGTGCGTGTTTTTTGTTGTAATTGTTTTTAAAAAGTTTCGTAATTATATGAAAATGCAATACAACAAAAAGGAAGCAGTCAGCTGCGTGTGTTTATGAGTATGCGTGTGTTTATGTGTGTGAACGTGTACTTGTGTCTGTCTGTTGTTGGTGTGGGCACAGAATATTGAGAGAAAGCATGCACAAAACAATTTAATTTTCATTTCATTTCCACATTTGCTTTCTTTGCTATTATTCTTCCTTTTAATTTTGCGTGATTTTAAATGTATTAATATAAAATCAGAAATTTACCCATATATACACAGATATATGTGTGCGTACATACATTATTAGACAGCCAACAAGAAGCACAGAAAAAGAAGAAAGAGAAATAAAAACAACAATAACATGCACATATGTATGGCTGCTGTTGTTGTTGTCTTGAACGAAAATTGCAGCTGAGTGTCATTTGGTTAGTCAACACTGTGTTGTTGTTGTTGTTGATCTTCCAGAGAGCGTGGGCTTTACACCAACAGGCACACGCGCGCTCTCTTGCACACACACATGCAGATACTCAGCACACAGCTGAGAGGCAGCAACAACAAACAAAACACAGAAAAGTAACGCAAATAACAACAGTAAACTCCTCGCCCCGCTCCATGTGCTTGTATGCGTAAGTCTGTGTGTATGGGTGTATATATATCAACAACAAACGCGTACAGTGAGACTTGGCAAATCTCAATAAAGCAAAAACTGACCAAAAACCATTTCGAACTGAAGAGCTTCACTGTAACCAGTGTGTGCACAAACATCACTTCAGCGCAAGGGAGACAGAGAAAACGACACAGGGCTAGTTGGCAAGACAGAGTAGGCGAGCGAATGAATTGAATTAGCTCATCCAAAAGAGAGCAGCTTGTTGACCAGTGAACAGTGTGTGTTGACAGTTAACCGTCCATTTGGCACATTTGTATTAGAGCAGTTGGCAAATAGAAATACATAAATTTCAAAACAGATACAGTGAAACCGCAAGCTGGAGAGACGCAGTTACAATTTCAATTACAAATATTAAATTTGGTAAAAGTAGCATTTGTATTTAAAATTATGTATACAAATTCGATAATTTACTAACTGGAAATAATGAAAAAGAAACATTCTGTGCATTATTATAATAGTATATTATTAATAGTATATGAATATAGAATATACTTAATAGCATCGTCATGGCGAAAGCTATTCTATAAATATTACTCATACGCAGTTGGTTGAGTCAACGAGCTTAAGAAAAAAATTAGAAATACAAAATGTATATATACATATATGTACAGATATATATAAACACATACGCCATACTAGATACAAATGTTGCGTTTAACAATGGTTGTGCGCACTGTAGGCTTGTCACGGGGGTTGCTGCTAACACTTCACTCTCTTTTCCATTTTTTTTTTTTTTTTGTTATATTCTCATTCGTTTGCTCGCTTGCTCTCGTTCGCCAGTCAGCCAATAACATTAAACAGCTGAGCTTGTTTGGAAACAACAGCCACCCATCCAAATGAGGAGCGTCATCATGAAATGGAATGGGAGGAGGGGTAGAGACAGATGACAAAACAATCAAAGCAATACAATTTCAATTGTTGCTAACAGCAGTGGGTGGGGGAATGAGTGAGTTATTGGAAGGGCAAACCGTATGCGAGCACGCAAATAGAATTGAAACATTTTCAATTTATTCCACATTCGCTCGGACCCTGGAAAGTATGCAAAAAAAACCAACAAATACCGTTAATGCATGCTTGTCCTTGATGCCATACTCGTTTTTACTGGTGTTGCTTATGGCAACTGCGGCGCTCACCAACCGCAGCCCCTTCACACAGAAGCAATGATGTGTAAATAGAGCGTATATATATATATATATATATATATATATATATATATATATATATATATATGTGTGTGTGTGTTTAAGAAAGCAAGCACGCACGGAAGGCAGACAGGAGAGCCCAACGGCAGTGGCAGTGGCAGCGGCAGCGGCAGCGATTGCGGCAGCACGACGTCACACTGTGTAGTTGTTGTTGCGTCTAGCTGCAACTGCTGCTGACTGCGCAGCTAGCTGCGTCGCTGACATAGTTTGGTTTCAATTTAGGCTGTGCGAGCGAGATAGCAAACCAGTTTGTTATACTGGGCTCATTTGACCTACATTTGGGCAAAGATTTGGCTGCACCAACAGCAGCAGCATCATCTCTCATGGTCAACCATGTTGATAGCATTGATAAGGATAACAGACGCGTGCATAAATAACGTTGATAATTGAAATTTGATTTTATTTGCAGGCAGACAGCAGCAGCTGCAGCTCCTGGATTGCAACTCCGATTATTGTTTTGATGTGTGCCTTGGCCAGGGGAGCAGCAATACAGTCAAATAGCAATAATAATAACAAAAAACATTAGCAATAATATCAACGCAAACACCTAGAACAACAACAACAGCAGCAGCAGCAACAAAAATAGCAACTACAATCACCGCTTCAGCCTTAGCGTATACAACGAGCGCACCGTGTCCTCAGTGTTATAGAACCCAAATCCAAAACAAAAACAAAGAAACAAAAATGTCATCTCCCAGCGCTGGTAAACGACGCATGGATAATGACGTCATCAAGCTAATCGAATCAAAACACGAGGTAACGATCCTCGGTGGCCTTAACGAATTCCATGTTAAGTTCTTCGGGCCAACAGGCACGCCCTACGAGGGCGGCGTTTGGAAGGTGCGCGTCTATCTGCCTGACAATTACCCATTCAAATCCCCAAGTATTGGATTTGTCAATAAGATCTATCATCCCAATATTGACGAATCATCAGGCACCGTTTGCCTGGATGTGATCAATCAAGCGTGGACTGCATTATACGATCTATCGAATATATTTGAATCGTTCTTACCACAACTGCTCACATATCCAAATCCTGTAGATCCATTGAATCGAGATGCAGCTGCCCTCTATCTGCACGAACCGGAGGAATATCATCGCAAGGTCGCCGACTACGTGCAGAGGTATGCGACCGAAGATGCGCTGCGAGCGGCGCAACAGGAGCGAGAGAGCAGCGACAGCGAGTCCAGCATGTCCGACTACAGCGAGGACGAGGCACGAGATATGGAATTATAATATCGGTTTAAATATATTATCGAAACAACTAAAACAATAGCAGCAGCAGCATTACTAGCTGCTGTTTAAAATGCCTCGATTTGAGTTGGATCAGATCGCCACGATATATAAAATACAATTGAACAACATATATATATATATATATATATATATATATATATATATATATGAATATAAAGAACGTGATTCGCTGGACATACTTATAAATAATATATATATATAGGTATATATATATATATATATATATATATATATATATATATATATATATATGATCTAAAAACTTATAAATATATTAATATGTAAGCAACAGAAAGTTTGAAACAATTCTTAGTAATATAGCAATTATATAGTAGCTGACAAATCGAGTATAAAAGTAAAAAGAAAAAAACAAAAACAGGAAAAAGGCAGATCGAAAGCAAGAAACGATAATAATTTTTGATGGACAAGAGTTACGATTGCATTGCAAATCCAATAAGCGTACATAACTTAGAAAAATAACACACACACACACGCACACACACATGACATATATATATACGTGTTTGTGTGTGTGCCATCATAACTATAGTTAGTTGTATATACCCCATATATATATATATATATATAAAAACATGGACAACTGTTTTCTTGGTCAGCTGTTTAGGCTGTTGACACATTTAAACAGAATTACAAAACCACTACACACCCAACTTCCGCCCACCTGTCACGCCCCCTTGCCACTAGCTGGCCACACCCGCGCGCCTTTTGGTTCCATTCAATGCATTCAATCAACTGCAAAAAAGCGAAACCAATTTTCTTGTTTTTAATTTTTTTTTATTTTGTTTAATTTTAATTTTTTAATTATGACGCAGCTCTAATTTGTTAAATGCTAAAATATAAAATAATAAAAAAGAAACTAATATTAAGTTCAAAAGTTGTTAAACTAAACTTATATATATATATATATACATATATAACTAGGTTGCCAATTAATCGTGTGTTTCAACAAGCAAAATTTATTATGTATTTATTAAACAAAAGAAAAAAAAACAACAAAACAAAACGAAAATTACAAATTTTAATAATTTTTGTTTAAGCTAGAACTCATTTCATTTTGAAAACTTTTGTGTGTCTTGTCCAAGTTTTTTTTTTAAGTTTTAAAGTCGGAACAGAACAGAAAGTAAAATTAAGTCTTAAATACAAATACAAAACGAAAATAAAACATCAAATGATATATATATATATATATATAAATAATAAAAAAAAATATATATATATATATATAAATAAAAAAAAAAATATATATATATATATATACACACGAAAGAAAAACTACAAAACAAATTTAATAATGTTTAATAAAACGCGTAGAGTTGTGTATTCTAGTTAAACTTAGAGAGTTCAATAATATAAAAAAATAATTAAAGCAAATTAAGGCAAATTAAAAATGTTGCTTCTACCTAACCTCAATTGACAACCCCCCTTCACACAAAACGAAACCCTATTTTTCAAAATAGAAATGAAACAGTTTTGGAATACACAACTCTAAGAAAAATCACACGCAGACACACACGAAAGTGTATTTTCGGGGGTTTAGGTCAAGTGTTGGGGTTGCATATAGCGTATAGGCGACAACCCTGTCGACGGTTTTTAAGCAAATCCACAAACCACAGCAGCAAAAAATTAAAAATTTAATTGAAATCTAAGTGAAAAACAAAAAAAACGTAAATCGTAAAACGTAATTTTTAAACATGCTATATGTATGTATATATATATATATATATTTATGTATATATATATATATATTTATGTATATATATATATATATTTATGTATATATATATATATATATATATATATATATATATAATATTATGTATTGTGCTAACATTAACAATATTTTATGCTTAAGTTTAACAAAAGTGTTTATGAAATGATTATGTAAAAATAAATTGAAGAGTAATACGAATTGCTGAAGTGTATAGAAAATTGGGTGCAACTCGTTGAATGGGGCTGGCTTAAAGTGGAAGGAGCAGAAACCCATGCGAAAAGCAAAGAAATCGAGAATATCACAGATTTAGACTTCGTTTAATAGCGAGAGTCTACTATGCCTTTATTGAATAGGAAATAGTATCTCTATAATTGAATATCTTTAAGGATCTGAGCCGCTTTTCTTGAATATTATGTATCTTATTGTAAAAATTCTAGGCACAATAATATCTATAATAATATATATCTATAGTAGCGTTCATAAAAATAGTGCTGCATTAGACCAAACGTAGACAAAATGAAAAGGGAAATATATTATAATGGTAGGACGGGACTTACATATATCATATAGCGATATAGATGCAGAGATATCATAGCTGAAAATAAATTTATTTGCAGATGTGAATATATTTCATATATTCATACATAATGCCTCTCAAGTACCTTCTTTTCGACTCCATTCTGGCCTTTCTAGGCGCTTCTCATGCATTGTAAGCAAACATAACCCAACTTACCTGCCTAACTGACTGAGATATGTCTTATATAAGTGCCTTAGACCATCATGTTCCAGCTTAATTGAAGCCTAAAGAAATATCATTTGGAATTGTTGAACAAATTCCCAAAATTCGGCGCTTACCCTTCAACCTAACCTATAAATTGAGCACAAAGTATAGCAAGATTGCTTCACTAATAATTGCATATAATAATAATTAGATAGAACCGCCTTTAGTTAGTCGCTGTAGTAGTAGCTATGCCCCTTCTCAACCTAACCTATATATTAACCTCAATCGGATTTGAATTGTGAGAGACGTCGCGATGTTGCCCCCCCTGCGATGTTTTGTCAATAAAAAACAAAGTAAAAACTTTGCAGGCTTCAGGCAACTGACTACGTAATACTCGCTACTGAATCGAGTAGGAAGTACTCGTAGAGATGTGTGACGCAGCGGGCCATGCCCAGAAGAGGCGTAAGAATATGAGTAGGATAAATAGAGAAATATTCGTACCATTCGTCACGAGCTTAATGGGCGGGGAATATATATTTAGAAGAGCTCAACAGTTATTAAATTGACAAATTAAATTAAATTATGGTTAAACCTTTGTAAATATTTTGTCCATTTGGCAAATCTGGCCACGCCCACAATGGGCGTAACATAAGAAATCCTAAAATATGTATCAGCTGAAGGCTGCCAAACCTCCAGCTGCAACAGTGTCGCAATGCTATGCAACGAATATGCTCGGCTTCAGTTGTTGGGCGAGCATTGGGGCCAGAGTGAAAGGCGACCTACCTTATGGCTAACTGACAATGCGGTTTTGTCAACACATTTCAGCGTTTCGCCTTGGAAACTTGAGTTTGTTGATTGCCTCAAGAAGTTATTTTCCAAAGCCTTGTTGCTGTTGTTGTTGTTGTTTTCGTAGTATTTTTACCATTGTTTCGTCTCTCAAGGAACTCGAGGAATTCGCAAGTTTTTTAACAAGCAGCAGCAGCAGCAGCAACAGGACACCAACTGCAATGGGTAACAAAACTTTAGAGTTCCATTTAAAAACAGAACAAAAAATCAAAACAAAGAAAACTCTAATTAAGTGCAAAAAAGTTTTGAATACAGAAACAAAACAAAAAAAAGCATAAAAACTTTGCTCAAAGTGCATTTTGTGAGGTTATGTTTGCAAAGGGGTTGTGTCATATAGTCGCAACGCAGCTCAGCTCCGGATTGTCCCGCTTCCAGGCAAGGACACGAAGTGGAAAGTGCGAACCCAGAAGTTCCAGCCAATGCGAACGGGTTGCCCCCCACCAGCAGCTAATAGATCACAAAGTGTTTACATGTTAATATACTTCTCGGTGCGTGTGTGTATGTGTGTGTGTTAGAGATGCGCGCGTGTCACGAACCATAATGAGAAGCAATCACATACGTTTGCCATAAGTCGCTAGAGCTTTGAATTGGATATGGGCTCGAATGGTTTCATGAATTGGTTCGGGTTCGGCATAAGCCGCTCAATGCGTTACAGGCTTCGCCTTTCGGGTTCAATTGTGTATTTCGTTACGTTTCAGTTCAGGTTGCTATGCAGCTCGGTTTAGTTTCGTATTGGGTTCGGGCTTCTATTTGGCTTGAATTCGCTTTCCGATTTGAGCATTGGTTCGGCTAAGTTTCGGGTTGGTTTCGCGATTTCACTTGCATTACGATTCGGGTTTGATAAAACTTTTAAAACGTTTATGAATTCAGTTTTTAGTTTGATTTTCGTTTTAGACTTCAATTACTTTTGTAAGTTGTAAGCTTCGTTTCTAAGTTTTGCAATTTGCATCATGTTCGAATTTCAGTTTAGGAATCAAAAGTTAGTTAATCTAAGGTTAGTTCCGACTGCGGTTCGCTTTGAAGTTCGAATGTGATTTAGTTTCTGGCTTCGTGTGGCATAGGTTTTGTGTTTTATTTATATTCTACTTCGTATTCATTGAGATGTTCATTAGGCTTACGGTTCAACGTTCGGCTCCGGCTTTGGTTCAGGCTCAGTTCATTCGTTTAAGTTCAGCTTTCAGCTCAAGCTCTTTGGTTTGTGTATTGAACTGGTTCGCTTAAAAGTGTGACTTTTGTTAGTAACTAGTTCGCTTAAAGGTTTGACTTTTGTTCAGAACTGGTTCGCTTGAAAACCTTGAACCATATTCGTTCTAATTTTTTTAAGCTCACGAAATTTGTGCGTGTCACGAATGCTGAACACGAGACGTAGCCAGCGCTGGAGCTAGGGTTGGGTACTTAGTACTATATATATATATATATATATATATTTATATATATATATTTGTGTGTGTTCATGTGGGTCTATGTGCTGACTTGTCATTCGGCCTTCCTCATTTTGTTTGATTGTTGTTTGGGGCAACGGCGAAATGCAGAAATTATGTGGGAATTACGTGCAAGGCTGACGGCATGTCATCTGCCCGACGGCCCGTCCCAGCCCGCCCACTTGCTCCATTTCATTGCATACTTTTATGGGCGTTCGAACATATCCATTGACATAGGTACATGCATCTAGATAGATATATCCATATATATATGTAGACTTGTTTTCGCAAATGTACAAAGCACTAATAAAATTAAAGTACCCAACAAAATAGACATGAAAAACAAACAGAACAGAGCAGCTGATGGCAATCGGGCACTAAGCAGGGGTTAAAGGTTGAGCAAGGGTTAAGCGGGCTCTGGCGTGGTGTCGGCTGAGGCACACTCTACGTGCTGCACGTAAGGGGTTCAAATAGACAACTAGTTTATAAATACAAAGCTGTGAGAGAGTGTATGTGTGTGTATGTGTGTGTGTCTCTGTCTTTAATAGACATCTAGATATCTGGCCCGTGCAATTGCCGACTTCCCTGAGTAAACAAACTGCACTCGCAATGGGTTAAGCTTTGTGTGGGGCGTAACGGTTTGATTGATTACACTGGGAGAAACACTTGTTAGCTATGCATTACTTTGCACAAGTCTAGAGACTTAAAGCTTGGACTACAGATTTGCTCCAGGCTCGTCGTTTAAGACTTTAAACTAACGTCCAGTGGCAAATCTGAATACAATATCTTTTATATGTCGAATTTTGCCTTAGAATTGCTGCTAAGCTTTTATATATTGAGTGCTTGGCAAGTCGAGTATGGCTGTACTATATTATAGTATAGTAATTCAGCTACAGAAAATGGAAATATTCTATTTCCTATTCTCTTCTAATACACTATATACGTTCCTTAGAAGCAAAGCAACTTAAATTTTAAATAAATATAAAATATACATATATTATATAGTAGTAAAGACCGTGGTAAATCGTAAAATATTGAGAAGGAATATAATACAATCAGTTGCTGATAGTACGAATTCAGAAATTTTGTTTGGCTTTCACGCCCTGAGTTTTCTGACATCAAAGCTGATAAAGAACTCAAATTTTCCAATTCAGTTGATCATATTTGACTTAGTTCATATAGAAAACTCTTGTTCAGTAAGTTTACTATTTTTTTTTTTATACTATGCATTTTTGTGCAGTGTATATTGCTTTGTAGTTGATTTATGAGCGATATGCGAATATCATGTATTTGTACACAGTTTTGGTGGCAATTTATATGCATATTGGTCTTTTTCAGCTCCAAACGCAAGGGCGTAGCTGGGGCAGGACAGATTAGAAGAGGTAGGGACTGAGAGCTGGGCGGTGGAAGTTAGATGGCAGGAGGCAAGAGATGGAGGTAGCTGGTAGAGGGTAGATGGGGCCAGTATAGTGTTTGTATCTCTGCGTGTCGATGGCGTCGACTGTCAAGAATTGATTTGACTTTGACACATGAGGCACAAACACACAGCTCGGTGTGCGCCCTAATGATATGTGCTGGCAAAAATGTTGTTTGGCAGGCAAGGCGGGTGCCGCGAAGGGTCGCTCCCCGACACCGACACCCAAGAATGGAGCCGGAGTGGGAGCTACAAATGGCACGCAGCCAACAAATGCAGCGACGCCAACAGCAGCAACAGCAGGAGCAACAACAGCAACGGCAGCGTCAGCAGCAGCAGCAACTGGAGCAGCAGGAGGCGTTGCGGGCGGCTCTGCCTGCAGATCCACGCTACATGCGAACAAAACGATTTTGAAAACGGTTTCGGTCTTCCTCGCCAGCGGCAAACGAAACTCGAACAACCAGTCGAAGGCCGCAGCGGCTGCCCTGCAGAACAAACGGCAACAGCGACAGCGTAAAATGGACGAGTTGAGCGGCAAAATCAATCCCAAGCTGTTGGACAGTCTGCGCAAGAAGACACGATTTACCAAGTGAGTAGTCGCGCTCAGGCAGCTGGATGCTGTTTAGCAAGGCGAGAGCCATTTGGGACAAGTCTATTGATGGAAATATCTAGAGTCAGGGAAGCAGAGTCAGGTTCATAGTATGGGCAGAGCCTATAGTGCAAGCTAGTGCAAGTCCTGAGACTTAGGGAGTGAGCAAAGAATACAAAGAGTATTAGCACCGAAGACCTAGAGTGTCAAGCTGGGACATTTCGAGGTAGAGTCCTAAGATTATTAGTTGGATAGAAGTGACAAGGCTTGCAGGAAAACGTAGAGTCCTTCGAGGCTGTTGTCATCAGATAAATTGGCTCTATTGGATTTCCTTTAATCAACGCAATCAAGAGAGTTGCTTCAGTGCGCTTTATGAACAGGTCAGTCAAGGCTTAGTCTGAAGAGCAAAAGCGGCCTCCTCGCCTGGTTAGCAGAGTCATTCGTCTCCCTGAAGCAGAAATGGTTTTGTTAGGCTCTAGTCCGATAGCAAGAATCTTTACTAAATAATAGATGAAGCTGAAGACACTTTGAGCTAGCTACGACACAAATCTGTATCTCCAGTGTAAACAAAATTGTTAGACTCTGCTCTGCAGTAAATGGTCCAAAAGGTCAAAGCTGGCATGACTGTAACGGGGGAGAAACTCCTAAGCTAACAGTCACCAAACCGAACAGACTTAATTCGAAAGCATCTGTCCTCAGTCTCAGGTCTTAGAGACTTTTCAGAATTAATTATTATACCAGAGGCGCATTCAAGGACATCTAGGTACTGCTTAGAGTTCTCTGCGAATTTCGCTCAATCTATGAAGACAGACTCTAAGCTTCGTGTAACTCAAACTGAATCATGAATATTTCTCCACATTCTCTACAGAGACGAGCTGGATGCCTTGTGCCGAATCTATCGCAAGCTGGTATCCAATTGTCAGTATGCGGCTAAGACTCTCGCCTCGAGCTCGTCCAGCGCGGCCATAGCCAAGCCGCATGCCGCTGTCGAGGTGGGTTCAGTCCTCAGAGAACTGGTGGCCATTGCTAATTCTATTTTCAATTCCTTAACCATAGGGCATTGATCGCATTGTGTTCCGTGAATTGCTGCACAGCACCTTTGATATAGTCACCGAGGAGATACTCATGGAGCGCATCTTCTGCAGCTGGGACAAGGCACACGAGGGCTTGCCATTGCGGCTCGAGGGCTGGCTCATTGGACTCTCTACATTTCTGCGTGGCACTCCGGCGGAGCGTGCGGCATTTTGCTTTAGAGTTTACGACTTGAACACGGATGGCTTCATAACCAAGGACGAAATGTTTACGCTGTTGCGCAACTGTCTCATCAAACAGCCGCAAGACGAGGATCCAGACGAGGGCGTCAAGGACCTAGTGGAAATTGTGCTTAAGAAATTCGATCTCGATAAGGATGGCAAGGTATGTAAAGGGTCTCGATGCGAGCTCGAGGTATACTGCTTAAGTTAACCCTTCTCGTTCAACAGGTCTCGCTAGACGACTTCATGGCCACAGTTACAGCTGAGCCGCTGCTCATCGAGGCCTTTGGTCAGTGCCTGCCAACAGACAGCGCCGTCGTCTCCTTCTTCTCCACACTTCAGGTCTAGAGACCTATTTAAAAACAAAATAAAAAATATATCTTGTTTAAATAAATAAAAACGCTGAGACATTTATTTGTTAGTATCTTTTTAATTGAACGTCAATTGAACTAATTTTCGACAAAGCAAATAGATTAACTTCTGAACTTGATCTTCAGTTGAAACTGATGAGTCATGCTGAACATGAAACAATTGGCCAGGTCTACAGCGATACCTGCCCCATAAATAACGATTAAAAAACATTCGAGTAGCTAATCGCAGAACAATCGAACAGCGCGTTTCACATATCTAGGCACAGCGAACAAAAGGTAAGGTAAGCTAAGAGCTTAGTCTAGGCATTCAATAAGTCACTCATCAATCAAACATCTTGTGAGACAGTTAAACGGGCAAAGGGTCAGCTCTGTTAGTTAGTCAATCAATCAATCAATTAGTCACTAATTCAGTCAATCAAGCATTTTAGCAATCAGGCACACTCAGCTAATCATTCAGTCTGTAACTCAATCAATTAGTCAATCATTAGTTAGCTATCAATGACTGATACAATACGTCAATCACTTAAGCCGTCATTCACATAATCAATCAATCAGTCAGACAGTCAGTCAGTCACTTTCTTTTTCTGTCAATTAATTAAACAATAACTCAATTGATCAATCAGTTAGTCAGCTCAATCATTCAGTCTGTGGATCTCTCAATCAATTGATCAATCAGTTAGTCAGCTCAATCATTCAGTCTGTGGATCTCTCAATCAATTGGTCAATCACTTAGTCAGCTCAATCATTCAGTCTGTGGATCTCTCAATCAATTGGTCAATCAGTTAGTCAGCTCAATCATTCACTCTGTCCAACAGTAAGTCATGAAGCATTACAATCATGAAAACTTGTCTTTAATACCTATTTTAGTGGAATCTCCAATTCATACTCCTGCTTGCTTCTAATCAAGTGACGCGCACTGTGCATAAGCACACGGGCACAAGTGCGGCGATTTTTGACTTGGCAGTCACGACGATAATGCTCGTTCGTAGCGTATAGATCTAATTCGAACTGACCGTTAGAACTCGTCAATCAAGCATCGCAAAAGTGTCGATTAGCAGTTAGCCAAGGTCGGCTACATTGTGCGTGCTCCTGACCCAAATAACCAGATGCAACTCCGACTCGAATATCAGACGCGATAAACCTTAAATGCCCCGCCCACCTGTAAAGCGACTTACTCGACTTGAAATACAAGGAAATGTTGAGTATTTCTGTATCTTTGTATCTATGTATCTATGTATCTATGTATCTATGTATCTATGTATCTATGTATCTATGTATCTATGTATCTATGTATCTATGTATCTATGTATCTATGTATCTATGTATCTATGTATCTATGTATCTATGTATCTATGTATCTATGTATCTATGTATCTATGTATCTATGTATCTTAGTATCTATGTATCTATGTATCTATGTATCTATGTATCTATGTATCTATGTATCTATGTATCTATGTATCTATGTATCTATGTATCTATGTATCTATGTATCTATGTATCTATGTATCTATGTATCTATGTATCTATGTATCTATGTATCTATGTATCTATGTATCTATGTAATATGTATCTATGTATCTATGTTATGTATCTATGTATCTATGTATCTATTATCTATGTATCTATGTATCTATGTATCTATGTATCTATGTATCTATGTTCTATGTATCTATGTATCTATGTATCTATGTATCTATGTATCTATGTATCTATTATCTATGTATCTATGTATCTAGGTATCTATGTATCTATGTATCTATGTATCTATGTATCTATGTATCTATGTATCTATGTATCTATGTATCTATGTATCTATGTAAATATGTATTTCTGATTGCTATTTTATATAAAATAAGCAAAAGATACATGGAATAGAGCTTTGTGACTCATTTGACGTGGGTGCGGAATGAATTTAGTTAAGCGGCAAGTCAAAACAATGTAAGGCTGTCAACTTGTCAAGTGTTCAATTGATCAATTGGTCCAGTGTGCAGCCAGTGTGCAGGCGACACGTTTAGAGCTCAAACTAAATTATTCGATTAGCTGTATTCACAGCCAGGCGGGCAGATAGACAGATAGATAGGCAGATGTAGCTGACACCCAGTTTAAACAGTTGCCAACCGGTTGTCAACTGCCAGTTGCCCGTTTCGGTTGCACTTGGATTGAGATTGCAAATTGCAAATTGCACAAACTGATGCAGCAAAACAACAAAAACAAGAACAAAAGATCCGAAGCTTAGGCGAACCGGAATGGGAATTAGACTGAGCGCAACATATACAATAATATCTAATCATACTGATATGCTTATTCGCTTGCGTATACGTAACCTGACACACATTGAGTCTTACGTGCAAGGCCGTCTAACATCCAGTTTCTCGGTATTCAATTTGAAAATCTCGTTTTCACTATTCCACGCATAAAATATTATCAAATACAATCATGTCTATATGCCCGCTCGACCTCTCAACTCTCGCGCAAGCTCACAGCTAGATCTTTTACTTAGCTCTAGCTGAGAAATTCCTCAGTACGATCTATATCTCATGCAACTTACCGATATTTGCATACATCACTCACGCACTCCACTCTCTGCGATAGTTCGGAATTGTCAGTCGAGCGTAGCCAGAAGGGGCAACGCTTATCACACGTTTGCATCATATCTGTTAACGCAAAGTTGGCTTTTCATATCGATTTACCGCGACGACTACGTAACGCTCCAATGCGCATTGTGTTCTATTGATGGACGCACTTACCGCGCTCCATAGGCCCCATGAGGGGGTGTTAATGGGGGGTCGTCTAACGGCTTTTATATGAGTTACAGCCTACGCGAGATCATAAAGCGGTGGCATCTTTGCTATTATTTTTAAGCTCCAAAATCAATGAGGAAACACTGAGAAATACCCTGTAATGTGACTAAATCAACTAAGGAACGACTTGATAACTGTAAAACAAAGAAGTAAGCAAAAGTAGTGTGACTATAAACTACCTTTGACTTAAAAAAATTGCAGTTAAAATGGCTTTGATGACTAGGAAATACCCTGTACTGCAGCAAATCAATGGAGAATGGAGGTGCACACTGGCAAATACCCTGCTCAGTATGAAATCGAAGTTTGTGCTCTAGAGAAATGTCCTGTATTGGTTGAAAAAGTATGAGTATGAGTACGAAATATCCTGTATTTTACTGCACAATAAGCTGACAGCTTATACATACCCTGTAATGCAGAAAAGTATACTTAGAATAGACAAGCTTGTTGCAAAATACCCTGTACTGCTAGAAAGTTAGCTAAAAGAAGGAAATGTCTACGACAACTAATGCCCTAATACCCTGTAATTAAGAGGAAATCAAATATAATATAAATATAATCAAAAGCAATCTATAAATGTCTGCTGTAGTCCTGCTAGTTCCCGGGATAGGCATTTCTATTTAGAGCGATATTTCCACATAGATCGATACTGAAGAAACTGGGCAAACTCAAGGGAATAACAGCTAACTATATGTCTTTAAATAGATATATCTATATCTGTATACATATATATAAATATTTGTATTTGTTATCGTATACTTCTTGTTGATCTTCAGATATCTCTATCTATATATGAGTAGCTATATCTACAACTGTCAATAGCTGTCCTTATCTTCAGTGATATCAAAGTCTATTTATAGATATAGATATAGACATATTAGCTACATAAGATACAAATATATATTTTTGTACATTGGATTTTGATCAGGAACTTTATTTGCATTTTTAGCGATTAAAATGCACAATAATCTGGATGAAAGAGCTCACCAGCATCAAAAACTGTGTTTGTGTGTGTGTGTGTGTGTGTGTGTGTATCTGTATCTCTAGCTAATAACACGAGTGAAATCCAAAATATAGACCCTCATTGTTTATAAATATTACTGCATGCATGTAATCATCGGACGCTGATTAACACACGCATACACACACACACACACCCACACACACACACACACACACACACTCACCACACTCACATTGGCAGCACTCACATTCACACTCATTCAGCGATCTGCTCGGCTTTTCACTCAACGCTCAAATCTCTCGCACTCACTCGCTCTGTCGCTCTCTCCCGCCCTCTTTCTCTCTCTCTCTCTCTTTTGCACACACTATCTCTATATAGATCATAACTATGTAGGGGTGTTGAAGGGAAGCGCGGCGTGTAAACATGCAAGCACAGTAAACTGTTTATAGAACAAGCTCTCCATGCTGCCTGTGTATGTGTGTGTGTGTGTGTGTTAGTGAGTGTTTTGCGCTTGTATGAATATGTTTTTTTTTTCATTTTTTTTGTTGTTTTTTCTTTTTTGAAAATAAATAATCACTCATACGACCTGCCGGCAAGTCGCATTGCGTACTGTTTACTTCTGTGGGAATTCAGTTCGAATTCGTTAACAGGCGCTAACGGTTTGGGTGCCCGAAACGAAATAAAAAACCAAACACACCAGAGATCCTTGAGCAACAACAACAAGAACAGCAGCAACAATGTCCATACAAAGGTTAGTAAGAAAAAACATTAAGATGTTCGGCGATAGGAAATGTGAGTGAAATAGAAATCGCGATCGAAATACAAAAATAAAAACAAAACCAAAAAAAAAAGAAAAAAATTAAATGAAAAATAAATTTATGAACTGTGGAATTAGACGTTCGCTAGCAACAACAGATGCAGCTTGACACAAAAATTAAAAAAAAAAAAAAGAAATTATAATCTTATCGACATGCGCGCTACATATGTATATAAAATAATAAAACAAAAAAAATGTGTTTCTATTTTTTGTTTTTGTGATATTTTTATAATGTTCCTCGTACGACACGTATTGTGTGTTATTAGTTCTTGTGTTCTTTCATTGTGTGTGTGTGTACGCCATAGATAAGGTCCAGTTGGAACTGTGACCCTAACAATCGAACTTTAGTTTTTCTTCTTTTACTTTTTTTTGTTTTGTTATCTTTGAAGTGGAGCAGTTGCTAGAGATTACTAGTGTAACTAGACTAGGAACGAGTAGTCAAGCAATTAGTTGACTCTCAAGTCCCTGCTAAAAAGTGCACTTTGCCCAATTTCGAGAAAAATAAATATTAAACGAAATAAAAAAATAATAAATATTATTTAAGCTAATCGAACCGGCTCTCGTTTCATTTACACTGAATTTTAATTATGACCCAGCAATTAAGCTTAACCTTTGTCGTTTATTAACAATATGTCAGCGGGGCCTTTAAGCTGCTCAAGTAGGTGTAATTATTATTATTGCGGCACACGTGGTAATTTACTATGATCTTACAGCTCGTGCAGTTGATTGGCCATTAACGACGTGTTCAAAGCATTCAATAACACAAGCCTCCTGCCCCTACCCCTGCCCCTGCCCTGGGCCTACCCAGATGGTTTCAACTTGAACACAGATTAGTTTATTAACATAACAAGACAGCAGCTAAACTGTATTACAATGTATTTCATGTTCTATCATATATTACAATCTATGTCATAGATCAAACTCGAAAGTTAGTCTTTAAATAGACCTATTAAAGCATCCGTCATAGTACAGTCAACTTAAGTTATATCAAAACTATTTTAATTACATTTAGCTGTTATTAAAGAATCTTGAATACTATAAGAAAACTCATATATATCTATATATAGTTTTTGGGATCGCCCATTAGTAGTAGTATTTAGATATGATGAATATATAAAACGCTTTCTGAAAAATCAACGAACGAAAGAGATCTTTAAATTTAATTAGAAAATATATAATAATGGAATATTTTTTTTACGTTCGTATTTCTATAACTTAAAATTATTTCCTGAATTCAGCACATGGACTAAGGCATCAGTATCTTTTGGAACATCAAAACTGAAAATGCATTTTAAATTAGCTCTGCATCTCTCTCTCTTTATTTTCTATTTCTCTCTGTCTGTCTATCTCTCTCTCTATTTCTATTGCTCACTCTCACTCTCTCTATTTCTCTATCTTTCTTTATCTTAAACTTTATCTCTCTCACTCTCTATATGTATCTCTCTAACTGTCTCTCTCTCTCTCTCTCTCTAACCTTTCTTTCTATAATTTCCCCAAATATTTACTATATACCCAGCGTATTCTTAAGTGTTCCACTTCAATAGAGATCTTAGCATGCATGCAAAGTAAAAGATATCAAACAAATTCCATCACGCTAATGAATATAAAAATTTTCTTCTCTATATAGGACATGATATTGATATATACTGATATATGATATGTAGTTGAGCAACAGCCCAGTTCACATAGAGACAATAATAATAGATATCGTGCCATTGGACGTGTAAGTTCCTTAGAATACAGTTAGACTCAACGTGGTTATATTATAATACCATAATGCAGTAAGCGATATGGAAGCAGCAGTTCGAAGTAAATTTGTGAATTCTATAGAAGAGCATGATATTCGATGGTGACTTATTGTGGGTGTTCTTGATGCTTAGAACGATTTAAATCAAAGTCAAAGCCAAGCTCGTGCTGAACCATATACCAAGGTTAGACTTCAGTTCAGGGTCTATAGCATAGGTCTTGACCAGCACATGCTATAGAATTGTTTCACTCAATGAGCTTTTGTTGTTTTTGTTGTGTTGGCCATTATCGCCAGATCGTACAAAGCTGCTGCAGCTGGAGAGCATAGCTATTTATACGAACTATATGAGCCAGTGACAACGACAACCAGAACAAGAATAAATTTGCTGACCGTAGCTGAAACAGCTGCCCCACTTCTCTCTCTTCTCCCCTCGCCCCATGCAGAGCCGTTGACAAAAACTGAGGCTGAACTGAAAAAAAAAGAAAACAAAATTACAACAGCTCTGTCAGAGGTCGCTTGGTCAGCGACTGGTCACAGATAAAGATAAAAGCGAATGCGAATGAGTATTTGGCGCTGCGGATGCTCTGAAGTGTAAATCGTCCGTTGGAGCTCGACCTAAAGACCTATGGATACGTTAACGTACAAGCACATACGCACACACAAACACGCCCGTATACACGCACATGCATTTAGCCAATACGAGGGCTGACTCTAAAATAACCCTGTTGTGCGTCTAGTGAAAAATTAAATGTGATCAGATATATTTATTTAAATAAATAGTTATTGTATATATAAATATTTCTATTGAAATTTTGTGTTTGTGCGAGAAGGACAAAGCTAAGTGTGACCAGCTTGGATTTTCAGTTTGAAATCTCAGCATTATCCACACACAATCAAGACAGAGCTATGTCACGGAACAGTTAGCATTATTAATTTGAATACTGGAAGTGTTAGTGGTTAGCTTTAATTTTGATTGGATCGCGTGACATTATGCACATACTGCTTGATTTTTTTAAAATTAGCAACAAATGAAGATTAAACATATTAACATTACATTAACATTACTTTCTGTTATTTTTAATACAAGATTATATAAATACAAATTTGAATTTAGTTCCTTAAACTAAAAAATAAAAGCATACCAAATGAGTGCTCAAAAAATACTAAAAATGATGCAGCGTGTCGGCAGCTTTTTAGCCTTTTTTAGTTAATTTCGGCATTTGGCCGCGCTTCCATTCAAATGACAAATTTGTGCACAAATTTCAAACGCGAAAATATTTATGTAAGTCTCAACAGTAAATTCGACAATTTTCAACAAATTGTGTTACTATTATTTAAAGTAACTAGTAAAAAATAAAGTAAAGAAAACTAGCAGATCAACCGGCGCACACTATTAATGACAGCCCTCGCAGCAGCCACAAATGCTTGATATTAGATTATATCACATTATAATTAGCCACTGTCACGCACTTTCCCAATTATGCAAGCCTCCTTCCCCCGCAACTGCTTAATGTATTTCACTATTGTAACTCTTGCAGCAACAACAACAGCCGCAATGGTGCCGGAAGCACTGTTGGCCAGAACAACGATATATATAATATAGTGCTGTTGATCGTGGACATTGTGATCTTGGTGTTTAAATTCTGGCTGACCATTATCGAGGAGACCGTCAAGCTGTTCACCACACGGCCACAGGCGAATGTGTCTGGACAGTTTGTGCTGATCACTGGTGCCGGTCATGGCATGGGCAAGGAGATGGCATTGCAATATGCTGGCATTGGCGCCAAGGTCATCTGCTGGGATATTAATGACCAGACCAATTCACAGACAGTCAAGGAAATCAAACAGGCTGGCGGCACAGCCTATGGCTATGTATGTAATGTGGTCAAGCGTGAGGATATTATGGAGCTAGCTAGCAGGATACGCAAAGAGCATGGATTTGTTAGCGTTGTGGTCAACAATGCTGGTATTATGCCCTGCCATCCGCTGCTCGAACATACGGAACAGGAGACGCGCCTCATGTACGACATCAATGTGCTCGCCCACTATTGGGTAGGTCTCTCTCTCGCACACAATCTCTCTGTCTCTGTCTATATATGTTTCTTCTCTCTCGCTTTCAGATCATCCAAGCTTTCCTGCCCGATATGATTGAGCGCAATGAGGGCAGCATTGTGGCACTATCCTCCTGCGCCGGCCTCTTTGGCCTGGCCAATTTGGTGCCCTATTGCGGCACAAAGTTCGCCGTACGCGGCTACATGGCAGCCCTCGCCGAGGAGCTGCGACAGAAGAATCCCCAGACAAACGTAAGTCAACCATAACCCAGACAACAAAATGAATCCAAGCATGGTTACTCTTTTTGGCTAGATAGACGATCATGAACATCATTAACAAGTTACCCATTTTATTTCAGATCAAACTAACCACCATCTATCCGTATATGATCGATACGGGTCTGTGCAAGAATCCGCGCTATCGTTTCCCCAATGCGATGAAGCTAATTTCGCCCAAGGATGCGGCTGCATCCATTATCGAGGCTCAGCGCCAGGGTCTGGAGGAGGCGGCAATACCTCGTCATTTCGTGGCTGTAGAGAAGCTGGGTCGCTTGATACCCAGAAAGGCAATGCGATTGGTCAACGATTTCCTAGACACGGGTGTCGATACCGACAAGATGTAAGCCATAAATCGAAAAGAGAAACTAAGCTAGAACTCGGAACTTCCAATGATAGTTTTAAGTCTCAACAGCTTTATCGATATTCCTTCTTTACCTTTTTTTAATTTTTTTTTTCAACTTTCTCTGTGGATTTAATGTATATCTTTATATGTATCTACTTATCTGTACAAGATGTGAATTTAGCGAGCTTAAAGGTTGTTACTTAATAAACAGTTAATTATAACTATAATGAGTTTAACTAGAGTTTCTCTTACGTAACTATGATGATGATTGCAATCTTAATGATTGATGACGACAATGAATAATAATGATGATATATAAAATCATATTGTTATATTTTTATTATCATAATTATGATACGAATAAGAAGCGTAATAATAATTATGATGAAACGATCATGATGATGATGATGATGATGATATCAAATCTATTGCTGATTGACTAAGAGCAACATCAATATTATAATAATAACGAAAATGATAATGATGATGATGATAATGCTAATGTTCATAGTAATGAGCATGATAATGGCGATGCTATAAGGACTTGATGAATATGATAATCATAGTGATGTTATGATAGTGAATCATGATAAACGTAACATAGCTTATGAAAATGGCATTGCTAAAAATCGTAATCATAATCGTTATATTCTTAATAATAATGATAACGATTATCCTGATCTTATATCTTATCATAATCTTGACACTCATAATGCTCATTTAAAATATATCAAATAAGATCACTAATGAAATATTTTACACTTTTGAAGTTAAAGTGATCAAGAGCTGAACTTTAAGCCTTAGGCCTAGCCCTAATTTCGCATACCAATGGAAATAAGCTTAGACTTGATTGTGACTCAAAGCTACGGTCAGCTCAAGATCGTGTCACTAAGCCGAGTCAGACTTTAATCATTTAAATTTAAATTCAACTTAAATTTACAGAACACTTAAGATAAAAGTTATGTGAATGGGATTTTAGTAGGAGACACATAATAGTTAAATGGAACACATTTTAGACGAAGTGGGTTATTAAGTGGCTGCCGCTAATGGCTGTCTAATGACACTTTATGCTTATATATGCACCTAGTAAAGCTCATTATATTGACTGACCGACTGATTAATCAGGCTAACTACTTTACTAGAAGCTCGTGAAAAAAGGCATGCAATATGAGACTTGGTATAACAATCTGGGCTTATATAAACGTGTATCTTCTCAGTGATGTACTGGTTAGACTCGAATTTAAATTCAAGCTGTTGATCATAGGGAATGTATATAACATACAGAGTAGTAGGAATATATATGGTATATGGAAAGTACGAAGACTTTTTAGACAATCCTCGTATTGAAGTCTGAGCAGATTTGATAATCTTACAGACCAAGAATGATTTCCTTTTACAGACCATCAAGCTCTAGGCCTTTGCCTATATATACACACATATAGATGTGATAGAAGAGATCTACATAGATATTTATTTGGAGTCGTTTGAACTGGGAACAGAGAGAACTGCTTTCATTGATTATTTCTTGCCCTTGGCAGCTGCCTTGGCTGCCTTGGCCTTAGCCTTGGCCGCGCGCAGTTCTCTGGCCTCCTTGGAGGTTATGGAGCCGGGACGCTTTTTGCGCGCCTCCTCGAGTTTGGCTTGCTCGGCCAGATTGTCTAAATAGTATTGCTCGAAGTCGGTACGTTCCATCACTTTCCTTTCGGCGGCCCGCTTGCGATCAACACTCTCGAGGGTCTCATGGAAGGTGGCCAGAGCCAGACGGAACTGTTCGTCGGACTCGATCATCTTGATGAACTGATCGGGATTATCGGGATCCAGCTCCAAATCGGGTACCACCGCAACTTCCTCAATGGCGGCAACCTTTGATTGGCGTTCCTCCTCCTCCATAAGGAGCGTGCGACGACGCAACTTTATCTCATCCACACGCGCCTCCAGCAGTTTGCTGCGCGTAATCTCCCGCTCGAACATCTGAATGGGATGAAGGGCGAATGGTGAAGTGAAGGAGGTGGGAAGAATGAGGAATCAGTGGGGAAATGAGGGAGGGAGGGAGGGTGGGAGGTAAGGAGGGAGGGAAGGAGAAAGGCGAAAGAAGGAGAAAAGAGAAAAGAGGATAAAGGAGGAAGGAGGAAGGAGGAGAAAAGGGGGAGGAGGGAAGGAGAAAAGAGGGAAAAAGGAGGGAGAGAAGGAGTTAAGGAGAAACTCAGGAGGAAGAAAAAAGCAAGGAAATTGGGAGGAAGAATGAAGAAAGAAAAACGACAAAGAAGGAAAGATGAATGGGAAAGATTAGGGACAGATTAAGAGGATTGAAACGCGATCATTAACTTACTGCCGCCATGAGTGCCTTCTCCTTGCTGGTGGTCTTCTTCATGGCATCGTCCAGATTCATGATATGTGTATCTCCACTCGCTAGGGAAATGGCCAAAAATTGTCCACCCGGCTGAAAGACAACGCCCGTGATGGTGGAGTGGAAATTGATGCTATAGATGGGCTTGCGTTGATTCAATAGCAAATCCCAAAAGTCAACGACTCCATCAATGTCCCCAGTGACAAACAGGGAAGCGCGTCCCGTGCTCCAGGCGCCACACATTAACTGCGAACGCTTATACACATACATGGTACTTGGACGATTCTTGACCTCCTCGCACCAGATGCGCGCTCGCCAATCGCCGACAATGACAAAGTTCTTCACAAAGAACGGATTACGATGGATCGTGCGAATTGGCCCGGCGCAAATGTGAAAGTTGCCAACGAGCATCTCAACGGGATTCAAGCCCTTGCGATTGCCAACAAAGACGTCGCCCATATCGGTGCCAGCAATGAAGCGAACTGGTATGGTATACTCGAATTCCAATACGGTGCAGCCGTGAGCATTCTGGCGGTTTTGACGATTGCGCGTATATGGCTCCAGAAGGATCTCATTGGCTGGCATCTTAAGATCCCGAATATCCCAGAACTTAACCGAACCGTCTAACGACGCCGAATAGAATTCTGTATTCGACTTCGAGTACACCCAGGTCAAGGAAGATGTTTGCTCGCGATGCGCCGCCTCCATGGGGCACGTGCTGATTGACATGCCACTCTCGAAGGTCTCCCAAATGCACACCTTGCCCGTAAATGTGCCCGCCGCCATATTGTTCTCCTCCTTGGGACAGATCTTGGCACACGACACAACCTCGGTGTTGTCATAATAATACAAGGGCTTAATCGGATTCTTAACATCCCAGACATAGAATGCATTCGTGCTGCCATTGGTGTCATCGTTCGTGACCATGCGACGCTTCTCGCCTTTCAACAAAAACAGATTGCTGTACTGGGTCATGATCTGTCTATTGTTATTGGGCATCCAATTGATCACGGACATGTGACGCTGCGGCTGCCACATATCGTGAAAGATGTTTATGGTGCGGGACTTGAACGGCATGCAAATGGTGCGGCCCATATCGTGTGGCAGATCGTCAAAGAAATGATTATATATATTAATGGCATTGTTTTGCCGAGCTGTGTTCATTGTTGTCCTTATTAGCTCCTTGACCTCATCGCCCCACGCATCATCACGTTCGACCTTCTTGCGATGGCGCTGCGTTTGCTCCTCGTCGTTTATGTTCACCTCCTTCGGCCAGCCGCCCTCGTAGTGAAACATGCCACGTTCATCGAAGGTCGCATTCTCCGTTTCCATTTCGCTAAACGCCATCACCGAGCTGAGCTGTATGGAACGTGTCTGTGGGTTGCCCATAATATATTTGAGGCGCAGACGGCTGCTCGGATGTACGCTGACCATTAGCTCATTGCGATCCTCAAAGACGCATTGGCGGCCAAAGCGACGACGCTCGCGCGTTAGCACCACCTGATTCTGATACATGACAATAAATTAACTAATTAACTGTTAACTTCCTGTTTATATGTATCTGCACGTAAGAAATATTTGTTTACAATTGTATGTTACTTAAATTATATCGAAATTTAACAAATTTCTCGCACTAAATTCCAACTGCCAAAATGTTCGCTCTGATTCTCTTTTTAAAAGTTCAAGTGACTTATTTTAAGCATAACTGTCACAAGCTCATTTTGGCGCTGTGAAAGAATGCTCGTCAAATGTGGAGCATTTATGATAACTGTGGAGCAAGACTGTTAAATGTAGTGTCGGGAAAAAATGTGTAGACCTTGATTTATGAATGACTGAACAAAGTTGCTATTGATTAATATACAGTAAATAAAATTATTAACTGTTTAATAATACTGAAAAAACTGGGCATTCAATTTGCACCAACACTCACATAACATTAACAGATCAATTGGGCGGCAATGTTAAGTGTAGAGCAAATTTTCGGCACTGCGAATGTCAACGTGCTCGCGTGCATGTGTGAATGGCGTTCCACAGCGAGTACACAAACGCAACATCTGAAATTCGGTTTTGTGTCTCCTGGTGCTTACCAGTTATAAACCGCGCACCGCTGGATTAACCAGTGTCCAATATGTCACCCAAATATACTCACGCAATTGTTGCCAGGTAAGTGGATGGCCCCTGGCCAAGCTGCGCAGGGCACACCTGGACGGGGAAATTAGGTCATGTTGCCTAGGCAATGGCTCAATGGTTGGCTTTGGGTGGGGCCAGGTTTAAGGGTTGGGGCAGACCAACAAACATTGTCGCCCACGCATTTACCCCGTGTCGAGGCGTAAATTACTTCATTCATTCATTTATTCGCACTTGATTGTTGTTAATTCGTTTAATTCGTAATTTGCGTGTGATCTTCAGAATCTCCAATGCTTTGCTCGAAACGGGCGACTTTGATGTGCAATTGGCGAAACAACAACACGAACAATATTGCACTCTATTGCGTGAAATTGGCTTGAATGTGATCGAGCTGCCTCCGGATGATGCGTTACCCGAAGGCGTATTTGTTGAGAACAGCGCCGTGGTATGCAATGGAGTTGCGCTTATTGGCAAATCGGAGAATCTAAAACGCCGACGCGAAGCGGAGAGCATGGCCATCATTTTGAAGAAGGAGCTAGACATACCGGTTATCGAAATAGATGATCCTCATGCCCAATTGGATGGCGGTGATGTGCTCTTTACGGGTAAGTGATTGAAATTATCAAATTAATCGATACTATCGCAATTGTGTAATAACCGTTATAATCGTCTGCAGGGCGCGAGTTTTTCATTGGCATTTCAAGCTATACGAACGAGGAGGGCGCACGCGCTGTTGCCATGGCGTATCCCGAATATCCAGTGACACCCATTAGAGTGCGTTATAGCTAAGCTCAATTTATATGCAATTCTAATCAGCATACATTTGTTCTTTTTTTTGTGGGGTAGGTTAATGGTTGCAAGCGCTTAAAGTACTACGTCACCATGGCTGGGCCGGATGTGATGTGTGTGAGCACAAGTGCCACCTGCCAGGAGATTGTGAAGCGTATGGAGCGTGAGGCGAGCTTCACCTATCAGAAGCTCACGCTGCCCGAGGAGAGTGCGGCAAATATGTTATATATCAATGGCACAATTGTGCACAGATCACCCGCTGAAATTCCAGAAGCCTACAAGGTAATCACCCCGCTGTTATACTGTTATACTGTTATACACGCATTGCAATCTCATCTCATTTGCAGACTTTAAAAGAGAAAATTGACATTCCGACACGTAATATAAACATTAGCGAATTTAGCCAATATTCCAGTGGATTGAGCTCAGCGTGTCTGTTGCTGCGGCGCTGGAAGTCCATACGCAGCATTTGAACATGTGAATCATTCACTCGATCCCACATCTAACTATCTATATAAATCGAATAATGTTATTTTGTATCTAAAGTGGAGATAAAACACGCACAGGCGCTCGTTTTCATTGTTAATGGCGCAGCAATATCAATATGTCAACTAATTAATAATTAATCATAAATATTTGTATTTAGCGTGCATCTATTGCAACATCTTTTTAAACCGTTATTTGTTAAACTCTAAGTAATCATATAATGTTAAAATATTTATATACACACACACACATACACAGCTCTTCGCACACATTCGTCTAAACCTTGTTTACAACATTTAAATAGTTATATAATTTATGACATATACAAATAACTTTCTTACATATTAAATATTTTATCATTGGACTCGCAATTGTGCGATTTTCCAGCTAACGAATGACCTACGAATTGTATCTACTTTACAAGTAGCTGTTAAATGTGTTCACTGTACCGTCAAATATAAATAAACGCAAAATATTTGTAATATCTTTACAAAAATTTGATCGTACGAAGTTTTTTTTGACATTATGACATTAATAAAATATTATAGTTGCCATTGTATCCAAATTCCTTACCAAATATTTGCCCTACTCATTCCCATAATTTCCCTTTAGCATATTATGTTAAGTTACCATAGATATTTCCCTTTTTCCGTATTGCAATACAGTACTTATAAAACTTCCTTTTTCCCGCATAACAGTTAACTAACTTATCCGATCGTTCCTAGATATTTCTTTAACATTCTACTTATTCTCTGATTTTTTAAATTCGTATTAAATTAAAAACAAATATTGCTTTTTTTTCAAGTTTCATTATTCGCACTTAATTTTCGTTAAATATACAAAATACATAATACACAAAAGTTTAGTTACTAAAATTTAACATTTTAAAAACTGTTTTAATCTTTAGATGAGTTCAGCTTACAGTTGACTTATTTGCTCGATGTTTATGAAGTTATATATATATATACTATAAAGATTTTTGTTTTCGTTTCCATAATCTCTTTTTGTTGCATGCGATTTCTTACAGACTATATATAGACATAATAAATATATGTACGTTATAGGAGTCAAGTGTGAAGTTGTGTGAAGTGTGTAAATGCCAAATGAGTTATGCTAGACAAATATATATATATATATATATATATACTTATTTATGTATATAGTTATATATGAAGCATATAAAAGTACAAATGCAATATACAGTAATATATAATTTAAAAAAAAAAGCTTAGGTTCTATTGAGGAGAGGAATACTTTGGCATTGGCATGTCAGCCAAGCACGGAGGGTTTGTCGTATCGTCTCTATAACTAAGCCTACATCTAGTTTAAGATGTATAAATATCTATGTATCTATATATATATAGTCTATATACTAGTGTATGAGCTAACTAGGATTGTTTGCTCTAGGATCGATATAGGAAATGACGCTGCTTTGGCTGCTATCATCTTCCACAGTTTCATTGAGATGGTCTTGATTGTTGGTCGAGCTGGGATTGGGATTAGGATTGCTCGAGGACGGATGCTGCAGCTGCAGCTGCAGCTGCGTCTCAGTCTTTCGCAATCTTTCGGCAGCTGTTGGTGAACTGTGCGGCTCCTGCAGCAGCTGCTTGCAACTCCTGAGAGGACTGCGACACTTGATGGCCTCGTATAGCTCATCGATGGAGTTGTTCATGGCCTCCTCGTCATCCTCATCCTCGTCAACATCATCAACAATCTCATCCTCCTCTGTGGCTTCCGCTGTGGCCTCGCCACCACCAGCGCCTCCATTGCCCACATGCAGCTGGCTCTGCTGCAGCGCATAGACTGCATCCCCATTGGCTACAAACTCATCGTCAAACTCATTGAGCACATCCACGTCCGCATCGCTGGCGTTCGATGACTGATAGCAGCGAAAATCGTCTGTTAAAGTCAGGTTTAAATCGTTATCCGTTTGCGGCGCATATAGTCCATGGCTGCGTATGCTAATCTCAGAGTTCTGATAGTTCAGATCGCTCTCATTGGTCGGGCTGGCGGAGAGAAGCCGCGTGCTGCTTGGAAGATTAAAGTGATCCACACCACCGACGCCGGCGGGTCGACTGCGGGCATTGTGCGTCGCTTGCAACTGGGGCAGATTGCTGCTGGAGCAGGAGTACATCATTTGGGTGACTAGCGAATTGCCACTGCTGCCCGCTAAGGAGCCCAAATTGTTGCCCTCCAATGCGGCTGCTGCAGCGTTGCCATTGGCTTCCTTTGTGGCAGCACCCGCGGCGAGCATGTCGTGTATATTGTTCAGGGATTTTGACTGCTGCTGCTGGCTGTAGCGGATGAGCACGCTGGGAAAGTCATCTTCCAGGCGAATGCTATTGGTGACCTGCAGCGAGTTGGAGACGTAGATCTCATGTTTTTGCAGCAGCGGCTCCTCAGCAGCAGCTGCCTCGCTGCTCGTCGCTTCCGGCAGACCCAAGCTATTCATGGCCTCCAAGCTGGGCCGCTTCACGGGCGTGGAACTCAGAGGCGCTCCCCGCTCCCTAAAGACATGCGCATTGAGTTCGTTCTGCGGTGTGCCTGGCATTGTGTTGGCATACAGCGGCGCATGCTCGTCCAAAGAGCTGCCATCGTCGTCTTCGTGCGTGGTCAGCAGCTCGTCATCGTGCTCGTGCAGCGTCTCGTCGAGCAGCGAGGGCGTGCGCAGCTTAATCACCTCATGCTGCGGCGTCAGCGTCTCGGGTATATTCGTATAAATGTTCGCTTGCAATATTTTGGAGGCGGGCACGAATCGTTTGTGCTGCTGTTGCTCCACCTGCGACTTGTAATGCAAATTCGTGTTGTTCACCTTGGTGCCACCTGCCAAGAGGGTCATCGCATTATGATGTCGAGCGTAGAGCTGCTCGGAGCTGGCATCGCTTAAGCTGTGCTGGCTGTGCAGCTGCTGGGGCAGTGCCTGACGCTGCAGCTCAAAATTGTTGCGCTTGGCCAAACGTTTCTGTTTCTTGAAGAACTTGCGCGCCACATTGATCTGGTTGGGATTGTAGAAGATTTCCGCACTGGGTATACACTCCTGTCCATTGCTCACATGGAGCAGATGATGTTGTCCTGCCTGCTGGGAGACAGCGGAGGCTCCACTCAGCGTTTGCTGTCCATGATTGTTGTTAATTATCGTTATGGATGTGGCCGAATTGCCGCCCACGCCTCCGCCTCCTCCTCCGCCGCCGCCAGCCAACAGCTGCTGTGTGGTGCAGTCCAAGTGACCGTTGCTGCGATTCTGGCTACGCATGCTACGGGCACTACTGCTGCGTTGCTTATTGGAGCATTGGCTATTCGAACGCGAGCCGGCCGAGTTGTTCGGCTCATAGAGGCTGCCCGGACCAGCTTTGTAGGCGACAATTGAATTGCTTATCATAGCAGCGCCTTGGCCAGCTTTGGCAGCCGATGTGGCTGCTGCAGCAGCAGCTCGAGCTTGACTGCTCCCGTTCCTTGCATTATTATAGGCCACCAACCGACTGGATCTGGCCAAACGATGCTGGGCCCAGGCCTGGCGTGCATCGTTCCTGGTCAGATTATAGAAGAGCAGCAGAAAGAGAGCCAATGCCACACAGCTGGCGACAAAGCTCAACACATAAAGCTCCTCCTCGCTGTGCACGTAGAAGGCAGCCGACAGCCAGGCGCAAACGTAGAGCACCAAAAAGATTAAATGCCCACGCAGATGCGACATATTCGAGCGCTCGTAGTCATCCACAATGCTGCTCAATGGATTGCTTAGCGTACTGTACTGCTCCTGCAGCTGCAAAGCTGAGCTGCTTGCCTCCTGCTTCACAGTTGCACAGCCATTTGCGTCCAACCAGTCCAGATCAATGTGCTCCGTTGCCTGGGTGTTATTATCCGAATATTGACGCTGGCCGAGATGCTGTTGCTGTTGTAGCACATTCACAGCCTGCTGACTGAGTTGGTAGTAGATGCAAAGCGCCAAGAACCCGCTAAAGATCAGCAAAATGCCGGCTGGCACAACCAAAGCGTTCAAAGTCGTCGAGTTGTGGAGGAAGCAGTAGCTGTAGGCGGCATACTCGGACATGTTGACAGCGCTGCTGATGCCGCAGATGAGCAGCGCAATGCCCCAGCCAACGAGATAGATGCCCAGTATGGGCTTACGCTGATGCGGCTCCTGTGGTAGCTGCATGGGCAACGCCTGCTGGCCGCCTAATGGCAAAGATGTGGCTGTCGTTGATTTGCTCAGCCTTTTGTACATGCTGCTCAGACTAACGCACAGCCAGAGCAGCACGCAGAGGCTGAGATAGTGCAAGAGCAATCCAAATAGACGGCAGTGCAGCAAATTCGTTGTCTGATAGATGCCCAGCATAAAGGTTAAACAGAGTGTGGACAATGCCAGCCAGGTGTTGACCAAAGCGTGTCGCTGCACGCGATTAATGCGTATGGCACAGCCGAAGACGACAAAGGTGACTATGTTGAACCAGGCGCAGCCGAACAATAGACCGCAGCCCACATAAATGGGCAAGGGGGCGTGCCGAAAGCGAGCGCCCGCCTGCTCGCTCCGATAGTCATTCAGATAAGCAGCACGTTGCAGCAATCCAAAATAGCCGCTGCGACTGCTGCAGCTGAACATGAGTAGAGTGCGATGTTGATAATGCTGCTGGCAGACTCGAGTATTCCATGCCTGTTGCTGTTCATCCCACCAGGCGGGCAATGGAGCACTGCGCTCATCGTGATACGGATGTGCCCGCAGCATTATAGTTATTCGCTGCTGGTAGACATCGTCCTGCTCGAGATTGAGCTCCTCTTCAGCTGCTGGCAATTGATTATCCAATGGCTCAGCATCGCTGTAAAGGCGGGCACCGATGACCACAGACGACAACGTTTCGTTCTGTTTGCTCAGCAAATTGGGCAATAGCTTTGCGTTGCGATGCAGCGTGATCATAAGTCTTAAGTTGCGCTGCAAGCTGCTTGAGCTATTAGCCGATGATACCTGCTCATTGAGCACCTGATAGGGCACCTGTATAGCTGCATCGATGTCGCCATGCTCGTACATGGGTATCGTATCATTGGCGCTATTGCATTGTAAGCCGCGCTGGCTGCCATCGAGCCACACGCAGGACATGCTCAGAAATTGCTCCAGACTGATATTGAAGAACTCCACAAAGATGTTGCGCTGCAGCATTTGGCGCCGCCAATCGCTTGCATCGCCATCGCCTGCACCAATGGTACTGCTGGTGGCCAAGCGCAAGGCGGCGGCTTCGACAATGTGAAGCAGCTTATGACTTGTACCCTGCTCCAGTTGTGCTGCCTCAAAAATTTTACCGGGCAACGTTAGCAGCTGTGAGACAATGTCCATTAGCAAATAGCTTATCTCCTGCTGATGCGCGTCCAGCTGTTCGAGATATTTAAGCAGTGTTCGCGCTATATACTCCAAGTCCATGGGATCGCGTATTTTGTGCAGTTGCGTTTGTATATGCGTAAAGTTGTGCAAGCGCCTCGCGATTTCTAGCGCATTTTTGCCTTTGGTAAGCGTTAAATTCACCTTTGCAAACTGTTCGAAGATGCGCGTCGTTTCGCTAACGTAGACACAGCTCTCGGCATTCAGTCGATGCCATTGACCATCGTTGCCACATTCATGTGACGCTCGTCGCTGCAAACTCACGTCGCTGGGCTCCTCGACGCAGGCTTGCAGCACTGTTTCACCTCTCATGGTGCGCGGCCAGTGGTAGCTGCCCTTGTTCGTATGCGTGATCAAAGCATCACAGTAGAGCGTTCCCTTGGCCACCACATGAAGGACAATGGATTGGGAAAGGTTCGCCTGCTGGCTACGCAGCGTACAATCCCACATGCCCGTGTGATTCTGCGTTAAGCTGCCAATGCGTAATATCGAATTCAATATGCCCGAATCGTTGGAATGACGCGTTTCTAAATGCACATCATTAAACACTTTGCTGGGATCACGATAGATGATATCATCTGTGGAGTTTTGCTGTCTTATCTTATCCGACCAGCCCCAGAAGACGTAGGCACGTGTAGGCAAATCCTCAGACTCCTGAGGAGCGCCAATTGCCACACGGGGGGCAAAGCATTTCAACTGCAGCTCGTCGCCCTCAAAGGCAATCTAAAGAGAATTATAACAAAATGAATAAATATCCGCAGTTAGACCTTGCTTTTATTCACGCACCTGATTCTGTTTGGGCACCAGCTCCAGAAGCGGCTGAAGCAGCGATTCGCAACGAAAGTCAATGCCCACTTTCAGCTTCTTCAGCGGCATGCCACGAAAATTGATAGGTGAATCACATTTGGGCGCCGGCAACAGACGTATATCGCGTGCATTGGACCAGGCAATCAACCAAATCAAGCCACAATCACAGGCCAACGGATTGTTAGATAAATCCCTAAGCAAAACAAAGGCAGAAAATATAGTTTCAAATAGATTTAAAAGAAGAAAAGAACTTACAGCTGCTTCAGTTTCGGCATCAACTCGAATGTTCCTTCATATATATGACTTATAGAATTGTTACCTAGACGCAAGCGTTCCACATTAAGCAGGCTATTGCCAAAGCTGTTCTTGTCCAGTTCGGTGAGCAAATTTGATGATAAGTCCAAACGTTTGAGTTCCGTAAAGCTTTTAAAATCATCTTCGCTTATACGTGCAATCGCATTTTTACTGGCATTGCTGCAAGGTAAACCATAAATAAAAATTGATTTATGGTAATTTGTTATATGACGCTTACATGCTGACAATATTGTGGACATCGTCGCCAAAGTTTAAGTCCCTCCAATTAACTATATGCAGCTCGTCGCAGCGAACGCGCAACGATTGAATATTCTCTGAAATATTCTTGCAGCTGCATTTATTGGGGCACATTGCCTGCACAACAAAGGTCGTTTGCGTGCTGAGCGCGACCAGGCCCCACAGCCACATTTGTGCAACGTTCATTTTGTTGCTCATTTATGTAGTTGCATTTGTGGCATCCATTTAATTAACAATACATTTGCAAACAAATGCATAATAAACAAAAACAGCAAAAGTTACAACAAAAAATTCAACCAGTATTGCTCTATCCACAGAATTTTCTATAATGCGGCGGTCTAATACTAAAAAATACTAAGCAATACTTAACATATGTTATCGATAGTCACATTAAATAAATTAAATACCACTTTTATTTTATTTTATTTTATTTTTTCAAGTAAACAATAACTAAACAATTTGTCAACGAGATTTGCAAGATATTCTTTAAAAAAAAATCATTTCTTCTGGTAAATCGATATTCATGGTAGCTATTATTTGTAACCCGATATATATGCACGGGTTTTGTATTATAAACAAAAAAATGTCAAGCCCTTTTTTAGGGTTATCGATGTTTTTATTTTAATATTTTTGAATCATATCTGACATAAACTACAAATTTTAGAATGTGCAACGAAACTAAAGAGTAATTTAATAAAAAGCCATATAAACATATTTAATTAATGGCTCCAAATATCGCATACACATACAATTTTCTCTGCCTTGGGTGTGCACACACTTGAGTGGTATATTGTTTTTATAAAAATTGACGTGTCAGATATATGTGTTAGGTGAATATATAGCATACCATATTGCACACGTCGTTTAGCTAAGCAGAAAGTGGATGGAGTTCTTGAAGAGTGGCATCAAGACCGTGCTGGGCAGCACTGAGCCGGGCCAACAGCCCAGTGCAGCCGAAACTGTAGAGAAGCTCGTCGATCGAGTTTATTCATCGACCCTACTGGAGGATCGCCGTGATGCATGCCGGGCATTGAAAGCGCTTTCACGCAAATATCGGATAGAGGTGGGTGCCCAGGGCATGCCACCCCTAGTGCAGGTACTGCAAAACGATGGCCAGGACGCAGAAATCATTAGCTATGCTCTGGATACGCTATGCAACATTGTCACAAGCGAGGAGTTCGACGAGGAAGCCGACAATCCGGCTGTATCCGTGAATGTTGGCGAACAGTTCACCGAAATGTTCATCAAAAGCCCCGAGCATGTCACCCTTGTCATGGGCTATCTTGATGAATATGATTTTCGTGTACGCCGCGGGGCCATACAATTAATCACATCTTTAATTGCAAATAAGACACGTGAACTACAGGAGCTGGTCTTAGTGAGTCCCATGGGCGTGTCCAAGCTGATGGACCTGCTCACCGATAGTCGTGAGGTGATCAGAAACGACGTGCTCTTGCTCCTCATTGAGCTGACCAAAGGCAATTCCAATATACAGAAGATTGTGGCATTCGAGAATGCGTTCGATCGTCTGTTTGATATTGTACGCGAAGAGGGCTGTTCGGATGGTGGCATTGTTGTCGAGGATTGTCTTATTTTGCTGCTAAATCTACTCAAAAACAATTCCAGCAATCAGCAGTTCTTTAAGGAGGGCTCCTACATACAACGATTGGCTCCAATGTTTTTGCTAAACAACTCCAATAGCAATTCAGATGCGGACGACAGCGCTTGGACCCCGCAGAAGGTATCCAATTTCCATTGCCTGCTGCAGGTGGTGCGGGCCTTGGTTACGCCCAGCAATCAGCAGCAAGTAGTCACTGCGTGCCAGCGGGTAATGCAAAAATCGCAACTGCTGCAGGCCCTCTGCGATATCTTAATGAGCAGCGGAGTACCAGCGGATATATTGACGGAGACAATTAATGCTGTGGCGGAGGTAGTGCGAGGGGATCGTGAGAATCAGGACGAGCTGAGCCGCGTTCAAGCGCCCAGTCAACCACCAAGGCCGGCCATTGTAGTCCTGCTCATGTCCATGATCAATGAGAAACAGCTTCTAGCGCTACGCTGTGCGGTGCTCTATTGCTTTGAATGCTATCTCTATCGCAACTCGGATGGTCAGCGTGCAGTGGTGCAGACGCTATTGCCATCCAGTGCCACAGATGTCAGCTCGCTATCCACCGGGCAGCTGCTGTGCACAGGTCTCTTTTCCACAGACACGCTGGCCAATTGGTTTGCTGCTGTGGCCCTTATGCATACGCTCGTCGAGAATGTCGCCCAGAAGGAGGAGCTGTTGCGTGTGCTCCTGGCAACGCCTGGCGGACAACGACCCATTACACTGCTGGAGCAATGCACAAATCTCATGCAGCAGGAGCGATATCGCCTGCAGAGTAAAGTGGGTCTGCTAATGCTGCTCAGCGTTTGGTTGGCTCACTGTCCAAGCGCAGTCAAAGCTTTGCTCGAGACACAGGGCACCATGGCCTACCTAACTGCCCAGCTGTGCGCCAATGAGCATGATGAACGTGAGTATCTCGTGCAGGGCATGTGCGCCTTTCTCATGGGCCTCTGCATACAGTTCAACGATAATTCGCTGCCCACCCAGCGGCGGGAGGACATCAGTCAGTTGATCATCAAGCGCATCGGGCAGGAGACCTTCTGCAACAAGCTGAGCGAAGTGTCGCGCCACGAGGCGTACAGCCGGGCATGCAAGCAGGCTCAGATACGCGCCAAGGGCGCCAGTGAACTGCTGCTTGATTACGAGTACTGCAAACTGTACAAGGGTCTGGAGGCGTTGATAGCCAAGCTGGTCAGCGGCTTCGACGTGGATGGCATTGAACTAACCGAGCTTACACTGAGCTCAGAGGCCTCCGCTTTGGTGGCTCAATATAAGGGCATCATACGCGGCATGGATGCGCAAATCCAAACTCTAGAGCAGTCCAGCAAGCAGCTGGAGCAGCAGAATGTTGAGCTCAAGGAGCAACTTAGCCAGGAGCAATCGCTCAAGGCGCAGCTAGCCGATCAGAATACGCTGCTCAAAGCACAGCTGGCGGCGCAGCCAACAGCAGCAACTGCAGCCACAACGACTACTGCAACTGCAACCGCAGCTCCAGAGCACCCAGCAGAGGTTGTAAACGAAGAGCAACTGAATGCAGCTCGCTATCAAGCGAACATGTACTTTGCAGAGAACATACGTATGACCAAGGAACTGGAGACACTGCGTCAGCAATTGGCAGCGGAAAAGCAGCGAGCGGATGCAGCCAATGAGTCTTTGCTAGCGACACAAAAGGATCAGGAAGATTTGCTCGAGCTGCTAGCCGATCAAGAGGCCAAGCTGGCGCGCTACGAGTCGCCGACAAATGCAGCAAACGACACAAACAGCAGATAACTTGCGACAGGTGAACCTTTCTATAAAGATGTGGATTGTATTAACACACACGCACATTGTATGTGTTCTACATGGATGTGGATTGTATTAAGACACGCAAACGCCTATAAAGCTGTTGAGTGTGTGGAAAGCTCGACTCAATGCCAACTGCCCCTCTCCTTATGCATTCTTATTGTTTTTACAAGTATACATACCATTTATATAGGTAGCACACACACACACAGGCACACACATATATACAAATATACACATATATAGATATATAGATATATAATGTAATTGATCTGTTTCTCAAGTCACACGAATTAGAAGAGATCTGTTTACGACTCTATCTGCATTTGTGCAATCTGTTCTACCAAGTTTTGTGACATGTTCCCCCATCAGAAGTGAAATAAATAGCAAATACATTATTATACAAATATAATAACAATTTGAATTTTACTCCTTTTAGATTATCAAGGATTAAAGGTCCATTTACGTGATCAGCGCCAGTTTACTATTGCTTTATCTTCTGGAATGATTCGTCTTTCTTAAGAAAGCTTGACCAAATTGCAGACAAAACTTAAATGTGACGGGGAAACCTTCCAAGAATACTTGATATACTTTAAATATTCCTTGAATATTTCTAGCACCCATGAGAATAGGCCTACCGACAACATTCGCTTAATGATTTACTTGGAACCTTGCTTTTCAGTTTTATGTAGGGATAACTTATATATCTGCAAATATTTACATCATATTTTAAACTATTCTGACTGTCGATACATATCCAATATTTTGACTCGTAAAGCTTTATTTCCTCTTCTTCACTTAACTTGTGATGCCTAAATTTAGTTTTGACTCGATCTGTCGTTTCTTGTTGTTGTGGAAAGCTTTCAGCTGGTTTAGTTAATGGTACGATGCCCTAACTGGACTCCTTAAATTTCATATATATACAAATAGCAACCAAAACGAATGTACCATAATAATACAGCATTAGGCCATAATACAAGGCTAAACAATTTGAATAGAACTCTCACATCATATAGGCATTTTGCTAATTATGTTTCCGCCAAAAGGTTACATTTGGAACTTGGTTGGATACTGTTTCCACATACTCCATATAAGATGAAGCAACATTCACTTGAGCACATTTTTAATAAGTTTTGCCTTTTAGGTTAGCACACAGATATTTGCACAAGAAAAAAAAAGGTAGAAGCGTATTGACTTAGGTATATCTTTTGACCATTCACATTTATTAACGAGCTGGCTACAAAATTTGTTTCTTATTATTGTGGATAGATGTATGTAGATGTTTAGTTAGCAATTGTTGGCCATTTCACATTTACTTCTTGTCACTTGAAACAGAGCTCTTCGATTCACGGATCGAGGCAGAGCGGCGACGCTTGGCCTCTTCACGCTTGGCTTTCGACTCCTTCTTGCGCTGCACCAAGAGCTTGGCATAATCAGCGGCTGCTTCTTTGGAAGCTTGCTGGCGCTTCTTCTTCAATGCAATGCGTCTGTGTTTGCGCTGCAGGACCACTGGAGTGATCAGACGCTGAATTTTGGGTGCCTTGGAGGTGGCCTTCTTGTTGTCCTTTGCGGGCAATGGGCGACGCACAACGAAGCGACGTACATCATCCTCCTTGGTCAAGTTGTACAGCTTGCGGATCTTGCTGGCACGCTTGGGTCCTAGGCGACGTGGAATTGTGGTGTCTGTAAGACCGGCAATATCTTGCTCGCCCTTCTTGATGACAACGAGAGCCAACACAGACATGTTGGAATCCACAATGCAGCCACGCACAGACTTACGCTTGCGCTCGCCAGTGCGGCGTGGACGGTAACAGGAGGTTCCCTTCCTCAACAGAAGACGCACACGACCTATACAGTGTCATAGAATTTAAAGTTGTAGTTAACAATTTCGGGTTTATATACAGAATAATTCATTTACTTACCGTGCGAGAGCACACCCTGCTTCATGGGGAAGCCCTGCTTGTCGTTGCCACCAGAGATACGCAGCTGATAGCCCTTCCATTCATCGCCAAGAATATCGGCCTCCACAACTTGGCCCATACGCTTCTCGTAGAACACACGTAGTTTGTGCTCATCGACAACCTCGAATAGCTTTTGGCATCCCGTTGCGGGATAAGAAACGTTGAGCTGTAAGTAAACACATACATTTGTTGTTTAGTTCACGTACATACACATATATACAAATTTGCCGAAATTGTTATCTTTGATTTTAAGGGCAATCACTTTAGTTTTTTCAATTGCACTTAATTTTTGCACATGGTTAATCTAAATGCTAGCTGTTTTGAGCAATATTTTTTAATGTTTACAGCATTTCTTATAATATTTTTCACAAAATTATTGCACACCTTCATTATGTCGGTCTTGCTGCAATCAACACAGAAAAAAAAAGAAACGGTCTTGTCAAATCCCAGCTAGGTAAGGGAAAGGAAATAGGGATGCAGCAATCGTTCTTATATCGAACGCAATCGATATGATGAAAACAAGCTATCGATAAGACTTAAATCTGAGTCTGATTGCGATAGCTGACTTTTACTTACGTACATAACATTTTACTGCGAATTGTCTTAATTAATTTCAGTAATTAATAAGTAAAATGTCTTAAATGCACCGTATATTGATAATAAATAGCTTATTATATCGCTCATCTCTAATAGATTATGCTCATCGATATATTCCAATGCACACATGCCAATAACAGCTGTCAAATAACAGAGTGACCATGATGCTAAATTAAATTACAGGGTGCCTCACCACGATAAACAACGATTACAACACGTGTTGTGTTAAGTTTTGTTATTAAAAGGTTGATATTAAAAGTGCACAAAAATGGGCAAACCGAAGAAAGCAAATGTGGCAACAATAAAAAATGTGAACTTGGAAAAGCAAATTACAGATGGCAAAGTGTCGAAAGCTAAAACCAAGGATAAAGTTAAGCTACGTGCAGAAGAGTCACCGGTAGGTCCATTTGTTGTAGCTATAATATCAAATAAATAATACGGATGCCTATTGATACATAGAATATTGATGCAAAAAGTAGTCAAAAGATATTGGCAGCAGCCAGACAACAGCAACTGGAGCTCGACGAAGAGAACTTTCCAAGCTTAACGCCAAGGAGGAATGTGAAATTCAACTTAAGTATGGGCGTAATCTATAACAAATTTGATTTTTTTTTTTAATAACATTATAAACGATTTAGACGATGGCATGGATCAGGAGGAGCAGGAGGATGTTAACGAAAATGATTTCATGGCTGTCTTGGATATGGACGATGACGATGTCGCTGCCTTCGAACGATTCCAACAGCCGCCAACAAAGGAAGGCAAACGTACTCTGCATCTGTCCGAGATTATAATGCAAAAGATTCAAGAGAAGGGCGCAGATATACACACAAAAATTTCCGATGAGGGCTCATTGAAAATTGAAGAAATTGATCCCAAAGTTAAGGAAATGTATGAAGGAGTTAGAGAGGTGCTCAAACGCTACCGCAGTGGCAAAATACCAAAAGCCTTTAAAATTATACCCAAACTAAGGAACTGGGAGCAAATATTGTTCATAACAGAGCCACACAATTGGAGCGCCGCTGCTATGTTTCAAGGTACTCGCATCTTCTGTTCGGTGCTCTCCCAAGCAATGGCTCAGCGCTTCTACAATTTGGTTCTGTTGCCACGCATTCGCGATGACCTTTGCGAATACAAGAAGCTCAATATGCATTTGTATAATGCCCTTAAGCGTGCGCTCTTTAAACCTGCTGCCTTTATGAAGGGCATTATATTGCCATTGCTCGAATCAGGCGACTGCACATTAAGGGAGGCAATTATATTTGGCAGTGTTGTGGCGCGCAGCTCCATACCTGTGCTGCACTCCTCTGCATGCCTGTTGAAAATCTGTGAGATGAGCTATTCAGGTGCCAATTCGATATTCATTCGATATTTCCTGGACAAACGTTATGCACTGCCATATCGTGTTATAGATGCGGCGGTCTTTCATTTTCTAAGGTACATCACATATAAATGATCTTATATATAATATTTTTCAAAATCCTGCCCTTCCACATTACAGATTTGAACAGGATAAACGCGAATTGCCTGTGCTGTGGCATCAAAGTCTGTTGACTTTTGCGCAACGTTATAAAAATGATATTTCATCCGAGCAAAAGGATGCGCTGCTGCAGCTTTTAAAGTAATTATTACTAGCTCAAAAGCTTATCGAATATAGCATTTAAATACGTTTATTGTTTTTTAATTGCAGAAAGAAATCTCATCCGAAGATCACGGCGGATATAAGGCGGGAATTGCAGGCGGCTCATTGCCGTGATGTTGAAATGATGGAAACAATGAACGAAACAGCTGGTCAGCCGATTAAAATGTACACAGATGAAGACGTTGGCTATGAGGGCTAACAAACTATACTATATAGGAATTATTCTTAATTTATAGTTTTTGAATTATTTTATTGTTTGAACACAATCAAAATCATTAATTATGTTTATGTAAATATATAGAATATATATATATATATATATATATTTATATATATTTATATATATTTATATATATTTATATATATATACATGCGTGACTGAGATTTAAAATTCATTAATACAACAATGTAAACAATTTGAATTATGATAGTTTTAGTATATGGCGCAATTTATTCCATTCATCGAGGATAATCGTTACGATGATTCGATTTATCTGTAATTTAGCACATGGCTCTTCTACTAATATTAAATGCCATCTATAGTTTTTCAATTTATGTATAAATCGCGGGTCTCGGCTAATCGACTATATGAAATTAGATATGAATGTCATGTGGCACAATCGATACATTCATTTTCTAATTGAATTGGCTATCGATAGTTTAATCGTTGAACAGCATTTGTCAAATACAATCAGAAAATCAGCTGTTGCCTGCTATCGGTAATCAAAAAAAAACATTAAAAATTTATTTAAGTTAACATTTTGAGAGGCACTCTTCAAATTGCATTCAACCAATGGATTCGAACTTGCGTAACGTATGCTTGGCTTATATAAAAACAACACTTTTAATTCATAAATATTTATACGCACTCAATTGCAGCTGAAAGATTTTCTTACATTATACAACAAAGTCACCGAATTGTGCTTCAATCGCTGCGTCGATAATCTCAGCCAACGTGAACTGTTCGAGCAGGAGGTGAGCTATCATAATTATCTATGTTTGTAATATTTATTAAGTACTGATTCGTATAAACAGACCACCTGCGTGGATCGATGTGTGACAAAATTTGCGCGCTTTAACCAAAATATGATGAAATCCTATGTGGATGTGCAAACGAAAATCAATGCCAAGCGCATGGAAGAAGTGGAGCTACAGAACGCCAAACAATTGGAGCAACAGCAGCAAGAGGAACGCATTAAAGAACAGCTTAAGGAGAAAGAGACCACTGGCACAGTACTGACGCCAGCTGCAACGACAGCTAACTTGTCCATGTAGCAGCGCCAGCAGCATATGGATTGGAATGCCATGCCACAGCTTTTATTTACAATATTAGACAGTTAAGCAGTAACAACACTTTAAACAAACATACATACACACATATGGTTACACACTAGAAATGCCGCGCATTTGTCTGCTTGCTTTGATCGGCCTGCCAGGCGCTGGCAAAACTAATCTTAGTAATTGGCTCATATTGCAGCAAGAACAACAACCTGATTTACTGGCTGGCTGGCAGATGTTGCATCTCTGCTACGATGATTATTTCAATATACAACCAACAAACAAGATAGAATATAGAGAGCAAAGACAATTTATATACAATTTGCTAGAGCAACTCATTGCGGCTCTACAAGCAGACAAGGTCGAACTGCCGGGGCACGTACGAAGATCAGCTACAATTACTAGCGATAACTATTTAGTAATATGCGATGATAATCATTATTATCGCAGTATGCGTTACCAACTCTACCAACTAAGTCGCAAACAAAATTGTCTATATGCCCAACTTTATCTAGCCTGCAGCTTGGTTGACTCTTTGCTTGCCAATGCGGAACGTGGAGCCGACGCTTTACCTGCAGCTGTAATACAACAAATGGAAATGCGACTCGAGTTGCCAAACGAAACTTCAGCGTGGGAGCAGCTGACACTAACACTCAATAGCACAAAAGATTTCCATGCAGTAGCAGAAATAATTAAGAACTTTCTACAAACTTTATTCAATAGCCAATTAATTGCTACGCCTGTACAGCAGGAAAAGCAGCCGCAATTGCAATCGCTAGCACATCAATTGGATTTGCAGTTGCGTGCACGTATTCAAAGCCAAATTAAATCCAACAGAGTTGAGGAAAAGCAACAGCAGTCAGCACAACGAAGTCGCGCTTTAAACGAACAACGCAAACACATTTTAACACAATTTCGTTTCGATATGCGCAGTGGGCAGACAGGACTTTCTAATGATAATTTGGAATACTATGTTAATATGTTAAATTAGTCTAAAGGAATCCAAATAAGCATTAGCTGTTTAAACATTGTACATATTAATATAACTGCTCTAGTCTAGTATATTAAACAATAACGAAACCACATGATCTAAATTCTAATTCACTCTTCAGGGTTTACCGCTCTCTTTCTTTCTCATTGTGTGGCTCTTCCTCTCTCGCTCTAATAGACCCACAATCACAGGATTTCATTTTATGAACCTCTATATTTAGATAAAATAATATCCATATTAACATTATATTTCCGCCTAACAATATCTATATATCTATATATATATATATATATATATATACTATATGCACAAGAAACTCGTATATAAAACTAGATTTATTTATGAAAAGTATATTGTAACCTAAGATATATATATATGTATATATATTTATATAAATTTGATGTTTAGACCACCTTCACTTGACTAAGATCACGCTTCTCGATCATGCGCATCTGCTTCTTCTTCATGCGTTTCAGTTTGGCAGGATTCTTGATCACTTGCACGACTTCTGAGCGTCGCTCGTTGGCCAAACGTCTTTCGGCATTCTCGACGCGTCGCTGGTGCCGCTGAACGGCGGCTTCCTTACGCTGATCCTTGATCTCCTTGGACTTTTCTTTGATGTAACGCATCTCATTGCGCAGTTCGACTTTCTTCTCAAATGTTAAACGATTCACAGTCTTCTTAATGTTGCTGAATCTGTGAATGAAGATTAGGCCATGAGTATTTTTTGTCGTGGTGTTGTTTGACTTCTTCTACTTCTGCTTGGGCGTTTTCCAGGGCCGATTGGATTTCGGCTGCCCGCGGGGTATTTTTGACTCTGGTTTGGCCACCTTTTTGGCTTTGGCTTTTGTTTGTGTCGTGGTATTTGAATTTTTATTGTTCTTAGATGCAGTTGCATCAATCTCAATTGCATCTGGTTTAGTCATGTTTTTGCCGTTATTTGGAACACACAAACTAAAACAAAACACTGCAGACTATGCACGTGCTTTTGGTACTATCGATAGTAACATTTAGTCATTTATCGATGTTGGAAAATGCAAAAGGGCAGTGTTGTGAAACAATTACCCATGTTTTTGTCTATCAGTTGACTTATTAGTTTTTAAAATCATGAGCTTGTTTTAAAAAGGCTTACATACAAAATTGCTATTGCGCCATTTTTATAACAAATAAACCCAAATCGCAAATCTGCGTTGGAAAGAATACGTTTTTAGCTTCTGTCCAGGTTCTGTTCTTCAATTCATTTAGCGCCAAGCCAAATTGAATTGAATTATTAAAAAAAAATTTTATTTCACTCATTAATTTTACAAAATCCTTAAATCGCAAACCGTCTTATTGTTTCCCAGCGATGTTGTTTTTTCGCTAACTTTGGTATTAATTTACATATTTACAGGCAAATATTAAGAACTCCACTTCTAATTCTTCGGAATCGAATTATAAGCTGTAGGCGTCTGCTCCTCTTCTGCTAAGGTTTGTTTATTTCGAGCTGAAGCCGTCAGAATCAGCGCCTGATTGTGCTGATCCACATTATAGTGATAGAAGAATGACTTGCTATATTCGAATGTCGATATCATGATCGCACAGGCTGGAGCCACTTTAAATAGACGTGGCCCAAGTCCCGCAAAGATACCACGAAATCCATTCAAACGATAAATGCTCGCCAAACGGTCAAAAACTGTTTTATTGGCCGTTGTTTGTGGCACAGTCTTGGGAGGATTATCTAACAAAAGGCAAAGATTTGAAATATAAACAAATTAAAATACAACTCGTGTTGCTGGAGCTATCAATATATATCAATGTAGCAACAATAATACCAGTGTTGCGAAGCACAGCAAATGTCAGGCCTACCTGTAAATATAAATTTCTCACCAAATTCGATTTGTTCATGCGTCTTTATGACATCAAAAGGCGTTGTGACCGTTGCAGCCACCTACAAGAACAAAAGGATATTTAGTTGTAAATCTATTCAGCAGTCGTTATTACTTACTGATCCCGAAATTGCACCTGCTAAAAAGCTAAAACCAAACGTTGGTTCAACAACATTAAAACTACTCTTCAGATACTCGTAACATGTCCAGTAAATACCGGAAAAGGGGACATCTCTCAATATGGTGGGCGGTAGGCCTCGCCACAACCCTAGCACACCTTGCGACTCCAATACTTGACGTATTGTGCCCATCATTTCAGCATTTGTCATCTTCTGGGACTGCATTTTGGTGCGTATCATTTCGATGGGACTAACAAAGGTCACCGCCAATATACGTGCCGTAATTCCTGCCATTAATGGCACTAACATTGGAATGTCTTGGCTATAGGCTGTTGTTTGTACAGGGGACAGGTACTTGTAGTGCAGGTCGATAAAGCGTGCTCTGAATTGTTCATATGCCACAAAATAGATAATGGTCGAGGGTAGCGCAGAGATAAGAGTTGGACTAAGGCCTGACCAGAGCGAGCGTATGCCCTCGGTGCGGCTGATTTTAATGAATGCATCCTGTGGGGTAATAGAAGATAGTCACTTGTCAATTTCACAAATATACTATTTCGACTTACTATAGTGCCCGTAAAGTGAGAGGATGAGGCCGCGGAATTAGATGGTAGCTTATTAAATGCAGAAGTCGCTGTCGGCGTAGGCGCATTGGGACCGCAGGGACATATGTGATCCATAAGGCCATTGCAATAGAGAAAACACTTATTTGATAGCAGAGAAGATTGTTGCGCCTGCAAACGCGTCTTGATTACGTCTAAAGGTGTCACTACAATTCGCAACAAATATGATGAAATTAACATGCAAATACAAACATGTTCATAGATATATGTGGATATATATATATATCTATATATATATATTATATTATATATATTAATAACTTACTGAAGCAGGCTGTAATCATGGCGCCCGTGCATGCGGACACAACCTGCTGCATTGGACGTATGCGAAATCTGGGATCTGTCATTTTGTATTGCGGCTGATTTGCCGGAGCTCCACTATTAGGCTCCATCGTTATTTTTGGAGTGGATTTCATCTTCGAATCCGGCATGCTTCACCGTTCTAATTTGCACGTCGATAATCTAAGTCAGCAAACGTAAAATATATTGTTAAAATGTGCTTGCTTGCAAGCTAATTTTGTCATTCAAAAGTCCTAGCTTAAACGTAACAACCAAACAAACAAAAAAGAGTAATCTCGTAGAATCCCACGTTTATGTTTGGTTTCAAATTTATCGATAGTTATACAGCTGTTAAGTGTGCACAATCAAAATGGAACAGCTGTTAGCATCAGTGTTGCTAATTTAAATTTTTACGCAATATATGACATTTTTTCATGTCTTACCATGCCAATGCTTGTTAGCATACTTTACAAATTGGAATCGCTATAATATGTTACATTAAATTTGTATCGGATTACCATTTAATACCTAAATTTTCATTTAATAATTTTTTATCAGATATACTGGAATTGTACATTAGAGCTGGATATTTTTAAGAAAGTAGCTATCGATAGTCAGAACACTTGTTTTGAACAGAATACAGTTATGTTACATACCGGCATGCTTTAGATCAAGATTGTAGCGAAAGAAGAATGATTTACTATACTCGAATGCCGATATCATAATAGCACACGCTGGCACAACGCGTAGCATACGTGGTACAACCCCTATATAGAGACCCCGTATACCCTGCTTGTGATATATCTGACTGAGGCGTGCAAACACTGTCGGTTTAGCCATGGATGATGAAACAGTGCTTGACCCTCTGGACCCAGTACTGGCGCCTGAACTGCCTTTACCCGCGCCAGATGAATCCGTGTAGAGCACATCCTGCCCCAGCTCAATTTGCGTATGGGTGGCAATTAAATCAAAAGGCATTGTAACGAACGTGGCCAACTAAAAAAAAAATAAATTAATCAATTGCAAATGTAGATGGTGGCATAGACAGACTCCTCCGGATGCTGCGCCCGCCATAAAGCTGAACCAAAACGTTGGCTCTGTCACATCGCAAGCCCGCTTTATAGACTCATAGGCAGCCCAATAGGTGCCCGAGAACGGGGCATCTCTCATCACGGTCGGCGGCCATCCGCGCCACAATACAAGAATGCCGTGAGTTTTAATCAATGTACGAAGCACAGCCCATAGTTTCGTATACGTCATATAACCAGATTGCATCTTAATGCGCACCATCTCCAACGGCGTTATGGCCGTCACGACAACCGTTCGGGCACATATACCCGATGCCATCGGCACTACTGAGGGTATGGTTAAACTTGCTTCCCTCGATGTCTTCACAATGTTATTGTTATTGTCGCGTGGACGCCAAAAATAATAGAAATTCGAAAAACTATGTTTCAAATATTCATAAGTCAGAAAGTAGATGATGGTCGATGGCAGCGCTGAGATAAGCGTGGGACTCAATCCCGCCCACAAGCCGAAAACCCCATTGCCGCAAATGATCTTGACAAAGGCATCCTGAAAGAGCGAGCCATGAAAGAGGGGGAGCAGTAAGGCATTGCATCTAGTATGATTAAAAAACACAGACATAGCTGTGCATATAAAAGAATGAATAAAAAGATAATCTACCATGGCTCCGCGCAGAGGACGCATGCTGGCCGCATCGGTCGCTGCGCTCTTGGACAGGCAATTGGTAGAGTTAGGCTTGCAAACGTGTGTCATTAGGCCATTGTGAAAGACATAGCAGAGCTTGGAGACGACCGGGCGGTAGCGGGCTTGATTCTGCGATTGAGTTTGAACGCGTGTCTTGACTACTTCCATTGGAGTCACTGGAGGAGGCACTCTCATTAATCTGAACTCATACGAAGATCTCCACATCTCTACTTACCCACAAATGTGGTGATTAATCCACCAACTAGAGCGGATATCACCTGCTGCATGGGGCGAATACGATAGCGCGGATCGTCGGATAGCAGGGCTGTTGGCAAACGCAATGGATCCCCAACCATCTCCAATGATTCAGGTGACTTAAAATCTGGTTCCGGATTCATATTTCATTTGTTCTGTACTTTCTCTTTATCAATTCCTCTGATATCTGTAACTGTCAAACAATAAGTTAACAGAAGAACCTAATCATAACTACTAATTGTTAGCCAAAATAATGTTGACACAAACGGAGAAAAGTTCATGACGTACATACCTAGGCGTACGTATCGGAGGCTACAACTATCTATATCTATCTATATATACTTATATAATAAAATAAAGTATATTTATAAATATATATATAAAATACGTTTAGATATATTAATATATCTATATATATTTATACAATTTATTTGCTTTGGTTCAGAGCGGCTTCAAGTGGCTCATCAACATGCCCCACGTTGATCTGAATTACCATATGTACATAACTGAATCTATATCTGTATCTGACTTGGTGGCGAACTTTAACTAACTAACTAACAAAAAAAGTGTATATTGTTTTATTTATGTGTATATTGAATTTTTACTTCGTAGTATGTAACGAATTATATTTCCAATTGATACGAACATGAACGGGTTTGCCCGAACAGTAAAATCGCTTGACACTAGACCCAAGGATAACTCAAAAATGTAAATCGAAGAGCGATTGAACTAAGTATACTATATATATATACATATATATAGATAAATGTATCTCAATAATTGATATTTAGATCAGGTACTAATCGATTTTTCATTGCAGGTGAAGAATAAATTCATGAAGATGTAGATCGGAACCAGTTTATATATAAGACATCCATTATATATTGACTTCTGTTGTTATTGCAATTTAGATCATGTACGAATGGCTTGGGAATTTAGTTTGAATTCTGTTCAGCTTGAATCCCAAGGAACTATGCTCAAGACTTCAAAGCTGGTGCAGTAGTTGATTACTTACAGTACAATACTACTCTGACGGGTTTAAACAGAGTATATTAGTTTTTTGTAGTCCAGGCTTCAACTATATAGACACCATATTATAGTTATACCCATTAATTGTAGCGTAGGTTTATAGTAAGCGAAAGCCCCCAATTGAATAGTTATGAAAACAAACGAACTTTGCTACGACAAGAAAATAATAACATTTAATTGCGTGAATTATAAATATGAATTAAATTAATCAAATTTAATAATAATTTGCATTACACTTAAGTTATTACAGTTAAGTATGAGTAGTAAGTCAGTTATTTTTTTTTTTATATTTTAGCAAAAACGAAAAAAAAAATTATTTTTGATGTAATTTAGGCCAATTGTGAATTCTATTTTTATCTTCATCTTTTTAGTAGGGATTTGCTGTTGTGTTGTGTTCTGTATAGCTGGCCTGTGGATAGGTAGGATTACGAATTGCGGGCGCCCCACTTCACTTGTGCGCAATGGGTATCAAGGTTTCGCCGGCAGTGAGCGCTGGCAGCGGCGCATCCACAGTCAAGACACCATCCTTGCTCAGGGACGAGCGAATCGATTCGGGATTCACGCCCTTCGGCAACAGAAACTCACGGTTGTATTCCCTGTAAACGCTCTTTGTATCTGATTTCTCCTCGTGCTTGGCATGCACCTGAAAGACAAGTGAAAAAATTAATTTTTCATGTGAATTATATTTATGCATATTTATATATGCATTGATGTGTTTGTAAATGAAATGACAAAATCCTTAAATCTTAGCTTATATGGTTTATATATCAAATCTTTATATACACTATAACATTATAGAATGTGAAACCTAATATTTTCTCCTTCTCTATTACTTTATATACAATATTTTTATGCAAATGTTTTATTCTCTTCTATCTTATTATTCTATCATATTATGCATCTTAGTCCCTTTCCTCTTTTAAATTCTTCAATATAGTATCTTCTCAGCTATCATATACTGCTATACAGTATATAGCGCATATATCACATATCATATAATTTACTATCTTTTACTTTTAATGCCTACCATATACTATCTTCTCTGATATCATATATTACCGTTTCCTAAATCATATATTATATTGTGTATTATAAATCATATACTTTCTATTCTGCACCAACATATTTTAACTTTTTTCATATATCGCCATATCTTATCATATCATATTATATGATATCATTTATGTAAAAGGCTTGAGTTTTTGTTCGTACTACTCTTAACTACTATTGAACTGATTTGTAGTTAGTCTTGTCTACATATACATATATATTGATGATCTTACCAGCAACTTCTGATCGACAGTTTTAACAACAATCTCCTCTGGTGCATATTGGCTGACATCGAACCGTAGCTTCAGCACTTTGTTATCGCCCTCGTCCTGCAGATGACAAAATAGAGATTATATGTAATGGACGACTACATATCAAATGGAAGTTTAACTATAACATACCTGTATCAAGGGAGAGCTGATGTCGGATACATAGTTCTGTTGCTTGGGCACTCGGGAAGGCAGGGCCGAGTTTGTTGTTGAGCTGTAAGTAAAATGTTCAGAATAAAGCATTAAAATTTAGTTAGAATTGATGTCCATAAAAACAATACTTAATCAGAGAGTTATATACAGTAGTTAGAAACACCTTGAGCTAGTTTTCGTAGTTTTCGTTGTGGTGGAGGTTGTGCGAAAAGTCTTGTGAAAAGTGCGTGTAAAGGCGTCCATTTTCTTTTGGGAATCGGTTTCTGGAAACCGCTGGCAAACGCGCTTCAAATGCAACTGAATTCAAACTGAGCCTTGCATTTCTTGCTCAGCTTCCTTTTCTTATTCTTCTTCTTGTTCTCTTGTTTCCTAACCTAACATATTTTATAAATAGATCGGATTTCCGCTCGGGAGCAGTTTTATTTTAAGAATCTATGCGAGCAGCTGTCGAGCTGAAGAAGGGGAGCTGGCTCATGGGGTGGATTTAGGTATAAGAATAGGGATATACATATATAAATATATGTATATCTATATAGACAGATACGTATGTAATTGAAGAACATTTGCTTTTCTGCCTGACCAAGTTTATTGTCCTAACTTCTCTCCTCTTACATGTCTGCATTCTTCTACTTATATATTTGATTTCTATATATACTCGTATATAGACCTGTTCAGTAGTCAAGTCTAATCATCTCTGAATTTATGCCAGCTCATCTCGTTGTGCTTTCATATTAATCAGTTTACTTGACTATATGTATGTACTATTTTTAATACACCCTAGTACTTGAGCATATGTACATATGTATATCTTTCTAGAATTCAAGTGTGTTCCGTTCTGGCTTTTTTCTATTCCGAAACAATGGACACAAAATGTTGGCAAAGCTGCCAAAATTTTTGATTTCATAGATCAGAAAAAAGCAAAAACTGAAGAGAGAGCAGTCTACATATATATATATATATATAGACAGGGCAGGTGCGAGGTCATACATAAATTTTTAATAGCGCTGGAAAAGTTCCGCAACACAAAAACCAAGCAAAGTTTATAAAGTTTATTGAACTTAACTTTGTATATAAGCTATAAAAACAAAACAATATAAATTTTGAAATATCTGTCAAATATTTTTTATGTATATACACAAATGTACATATATTCATACTTTACTTATACATGTATTTAGTTTATTTGTGTGAAATTCTTGAAAAATAAGGAATTTCGAAAGCTTTTTGACGTGACAACACATGAAAATGTCCGTCAACAGTGTGCTAAAGTACATACTGAAAATAGTAGAGAAATAGGTGTTTACCAACACAGCTATGTGTGTGCGTGTGTACGTGTGCGTTATTAACAATTTGAGAATAAGCAAAAATTCAACATAAAATTATTGTAAACGAAAAGTTTGTAGTCCATTTTTTTTTTCATGATAGAGAATAGAATACCTGGTTGTAGTTGTTGTCTTTTTAGTAGAGCTTTTTTTCGTGAGGAAAGTTATTATAGTAAATATAATTATAGATATATATATGTATTTTAATAGCAGTTTTTTATTTCCCAAGCAGCATGTAAAGGTTATAGGAAGAAAGAAATAGAAAAAAGATTGAGATATATATATATGTATATTTTTATAATATATGATAAGCGTTTGTTTTCTTAATTATTGAACTGTACATTTATTTTCATAGGTGCAAAAAGGTATCAAACACACACACACATGCAATTAAAACTTGAGTAAGACAGACCAATGAACCGTAATTACCAGCAAAACAAGAGAGAAAAAGGAAGGACAAGCGCTGACCACGCATGCTTTACTATATAACAAACGTACATACACATGAATATTAACATACACGCATACACGAATGCGAGGCGCTGTTGATAAGCGTGCCACTAGCTGGCTGGCAACGGTAAACGTGCCCGCAGTCGACCTTGCTAACAACGTGCCACGGTTAAATGCAACCTAAATTAAGAAATACAACTAAAACACACATACATAGCAGCAGCTGTTCCCCTACCTATCCAAATGTATGTGACTAATGGTAGAAACCGTTAATTCTGACTTTCGGCTATTGGAGTTATAAGACACTATACATATAGTGGAAGTCCAAGCATCTGCCGGAACAGCAGTTGGCGCTTACTTGCCTATGTCTACACATAGGCAAACACACAAGCACATGTATTAGCGCTCTCTTCGCACACACACACAGACTTGACGGCGGCACACGCTTAAATTCACAGCTCTCTCTCCTTCTCTGGCAGCGCTGATGATGTCATGCATATTTTTCGTATTGTTATTGAAAAAAAGCTCTGCGGGTAGAAATTTAATAAAAAGAGAAAGAGCAGCAGCAACAACCACAATAGCAACAGCAAAGTATATCAAATGTCAGACGAGGCGACGCTGTCGTTAAGCTAAGTGCAGTTGACAAAGGAAAGCAACTTAACGAATGCTAATCGATAGCCAATTGCTGCTGATCAGCAACGATTACAAGTGTCATCGAGTCGCCGCTTACGAAACATGTGCTAAAAATTTGCATGATATCATCTTTTGGCCATTTACTTATCGTCAGCATCATCAGTTGCATCACACGGCTAAATAAATTGGCAGCAAACATTCAAATTAACAGATAAATATATATATAGACATATATACATACATGCACTGCACAGTGGTACATAATAGCTTACACCCACGCAGAAAAAAATTCAATTCAACTCTTTTGTTTACTTTAGCAATTCGTATATGATATAATAAATTGAAAGAGATTATATATATACTAAATGTATATGTATACTGTATAGTATTATGATTAACCACAAATCGACCGAAAAGTTAAAAAGGAAAAATTGTAGTTCCAATTACAAGTCCATATACTTGTTTGCCATATACATATAGGTATCTCTCTTTATTTGCATAAACAAATGTGCTAATTCGTAACCCAAGCTCATATGTGCATACTATTACTATATACAATAGGCAAAACAAATTGAACAATAGATCAACCTGGAATAGTTGTATCTACATAGATAGTTGAGCACTTAAACAACGACAATTGCAATTTATTTTACAATGTACATTTTAAGTGTGTTTTTCTATAACTGCAATATAATAGAAAAATGAAAAAAAATCAATTAGTTGTCTTTTGTATAGGTTTGTTCAAGCCAGATGACGATGACGTGATCAGTTATTTTTAAACAATTATATTTCATTTCATTTAGCGAACAGCAGCTGTGGATTAGCCACAGCCCTACGATAGGGCCAATATTCGATAGCAAATGGAACTATTGAGTCATCGCTGGGCCGAATTTACCGAGCGCCCTCCCATACGCCCATCTCTAGCACACTTAAGGAACATTCTTGCACGGTGTCGTTCGAATTCTGTTGCATTAACGTTGGGTTGGGTGCTAAAAACATAAACATAGTCTAATTTTCTTCGTTAATTGCAGTTTGCGCCAAAACTTTTGTTTCGCACGCAATCTAACGGTTAAAGTTAACTGTCCACAAACTTTGCTTTCAAAGTTTTTTTTGTTGCTGCTGCGCATGCAAATGCATTGTAGGAAGACAACAAAGCAGCTACAACAATAACAAATCGCTTCGATTATGTCATTGCCCATGGCCGAAGCACTGAAAACCACTCGCAACGAATGATTTTCGAATTCGCCCTCAAGTGGCGCCCACGCGATACGAACATCGCTGCCGCGTTGTCGCCGCAAGCAGATTGGAAAGGCCAGCCAGGCGCAACCGCGACGACGACGTCGATGTCTACGTCGACGTCGACGTCATTTTGCTCTTCTCAGAGATATGCATGTATGCATATACATATCTACATACATATATGTATACCGACATGGGTGCATGTGTGCGTGCACACTTCTGTGCTGCTTTTAGTACATATTCTTGTTTTGTTTCAATATTTAACGGCCGCCTTCACATTGTCTGTTTATTTAGTAAATATTTGACTTATATATTCACATCAAAATGTGCGTGTGTATGCGTGTATCTGGCAACTATGCTAGAAAAAATTTCGTTACGCCACATCTCATAAAGTGTGCTAAAATATGCTTCTATTTTTCTAGCTCAAAATGCAACCATGGGTTACCGTTACAAAGCAGGGCTGCATTCACAGACAACAACAAAATGAATAAATGTGTAAGTATTTATAAATATATATTGTATGCCACAAAAAAGAAATTAATGGTGTAGAAAATAGAATCAAAAATATTATTATTTTTTTTTTTTTTTGGCAATTTTCAAATATTTAAAAAAATAAAAATAAAAATGATTTGTGCGGAAGACCAGACAAATGGAAAATGTATGTATATTTAGTAGGGGTACGAGGCAGGGTTGAAGGGGCTTTGTGAAAAGCGAATGTGACTCATTCCGACCAAAAAAGCTGAAGAAAAGAAAATGTGTGCTCGAGTATCTGGGGCATTTAGCGCTAAGTTTTTGGTACGTAATCCAGCTGATGATGATGCTGATGGTCAGTTAAGGCTATTTTTAAGTTAAATATGTTCGGGATATCCTAAACAAAAACGTAACATTCTCATCGAAATTTATGGCTGGGCATCATTATCCTATTTAATTAATTTCTGTCTAAGCGTTCCGTTAATTTATTTATTATTATTATTATTAATATTTTCCTCAAAACTTGCTTCCCATTTCCCCCAATCCCTTTGAATGCCAAAGCAACGTTAATTACCCTACCGTTATTTCTATCTGAAGCCAACTGGTCGTTCTTCTTTATTCTGATAAGAAATTATCAGCAATAACTTGACCCTTATCTAGATAAACGTTTCTGATCGCAAGTAATGCTAACAAGACGGAAACATTCATACATACATAAATACACACATATGCATACATGCACACACAGTGTACCAGACGCTTAACAGCCACATTAGCACATTTCAATTGGATATTAATATAACATGTTATTTGACGCTTACCTGGTTGATTCGAAGAAATTGGCCTCGCGGTTCATCAGCTCGTGACGGAACTTGGCCATCTCCTCCTCCATTTTGCGCATCTCAGAATCGAAGCGTTCGCGTATGCTGCTGAATTCCGTATCGATAACGCTGAAGTCGCCCAATTTGATGGGAATATTTCTCTTATTAGCCTCGGCCATTTTTGTTTTTTTTTTTGTTTATGTGTGTGTTAGATAGAATTAAAAAACTTCTTGCGTGTGCTGCTGCTTCTTCTTTTTCTTTGCTTCGGTTTGTTTTCACGCGCACCGCTCTTTCTTATTGGACTCGGTCAGCTTGTGCTTAAGTGTGCGTTTTTATATATGTATATTCACTTTCTAATCAGAACCAAAAAAAATCACAATGTATGTATTATTTTAATGTATTTGTATATATGTTTATGTGTATGTGTGTTGACTCGTGTCGTACAATTCAACGCGTTTCAAAGTTTTCTGTTTGACTGTTTTGCATTTTCGGTGTGTTGACGCTTTTATAGCACGGCGCCACACGGCGGCCGCAACCATACAGAGAACAAAACGCTAAAGAGAGGAAGACTGAGAGAGAGAGTGCTGTTTACCACAAAATTAAGCCAACATGGCAGCGAATGCACCCACACACTGAAACGACCCGCTCTCTCCATTTTTGTGCTCGCTCTCTCACACGCCGGCAAGAAACAAGTGAATGGACTCAAACGTGCGAGCGTGAATGGGATTGCATATGTGAGTGTAAGTGTTAGTGCGATACAAAGCATTTGAAGTTGAACTCTCCCGAATGCCCTACTATAAAATACGTTACGATTTAGTCATGTCAAATGAAATACATTGCAATTAAATGTAGTGTCAACTATTACAAATAAAAGCTAAAATTTGTTTTTTATATAATTTATTATTTATATTTTTAAACACATCTGAAGAAGGGCACTTAATCTAAGTTTACTGAGTTATTGTTGTATGTATATATTTTAATTGATAAGGGTATACAATAATTGCATAGTGTAACTCACAATCTTACCAGACAAAGTGCTTGAGCAGACAGGACTTATTTTTGCTCAATCTTCAAATGCATTTAGCAACATTCATGGGGTTATGTGTGTATCTATATACAAACATATGTATGTAAATAAATTAAAAAATTGTTTATTTTAGAAATGCTGATTTTCTACAACATTTTGTATTTTTTAACATAATTATCTAGTTAATTGCAAATGTGAACATGCCAGAGATTTATGAATATGCATTCTAAAATAAATGTACTAAAAATCCAGTCAAATCAAATTACCGCACGACGCTAAAAATAGACAATAACACAGTTATGAGGCTGCAGTCGTTACTTGGTTAGTTTCTATTTTCCTTTTTGCGCATTGATCACATAGTGTGGGGGCGGTTGAAGTGTAACCGGTAACGACAATGCTAACTGGTTTAAAGCTTATTGAACGCTTTGCCCGTTTTAGGGCAGAGAACGACACATTTTCAAGTCACTTTGTAAGTTAAGCAAAGTATTCTAGAAGCATACGTGTGTGTGTTTGTATTTATGCTAGTGTGAGCACGTGGGCGGCAACGTTGGCGACAATAATTTCGATTTGTTTGTAAACAAATGGGAAGTGCGATGAGTAATCGATGTTATTGAAGCAGCAGCAGCCACCAGCAGCTTCATTTCGACCGATATCCTTTTACGGTCTGGCAACGCTGTGCAGCAGTCATCGTCCCCTGCAATTAAATGTGATTATTAATTTTAAAATGTATTTCAGCAGTTGTCACGACATTAAAATACGCAAGATATATGTATATGTATAAGATAATAAAATAAATTCAATCATGAATTACAAAAATAAAATAACAATCATCTTGGTAGCGCCCACATGGCCGTAAATACCGCTGTCCAAACAATAAACTCATTTTCATCGAAATTCGCGACCTTGAAGTCGACAAAGATCTCGATCCCAAAATCGGCTAAGATTATATATGTATATATATATACACATATTGTCTGTGCATTTGCAATATGCGACTAAACATTGAAATTAAGAAAAACATTTTCTCATTCGCATTCGTCGAGAATGTTCATCATCGACCTTAGCTATAGATTTTCTCTTATATAGATTTATGAAGATGCTTATGTACAGTGAATACTCGCTTAAGCGAAAACTTGCTAAGCGCAATACTGCAAAAGGCGTTTTAAGATATATTGTGTGTGATAAATGATATCAAATACTTTGTTGAATTTCTTATTCGAATTTTTACTGTAGCTAGTATATATATTTAACCGACATATATATATATATGTGTTGCATATGTCACGCAAATCAATCAAAATTCGCCAGCGATGATTTAGCATGGAATTTTTAGCTGATGTATAATACGCCAATTACTCAACTAAGGCAAATAGATCTTGTGCGTGGGCGTGAACGCTTGACGACAGCGTTCGAAATGCCAAAACTAAAATTGTTTCGAGACTAATAATATATAAGTATATTCATATATATATAATTCGTGCACAGTTGTTGCTGTTGTTGGCATATTTGTGCGTTGTCATAAACTTCGAAACATTCTTTGAAAACATTTTGATATAGTACAAAACAAAAAACTATATATGCATAAAATTGTGGGCGCTCTTTAAAACGTGGGTTGTAGCCCACATCAAACCACTATGATACGTAGTATATTCATTCATAATAATATAGATAAAACCATGAATCATACAATTTAATACATCATGCTGAAAATTCTTGAATATAATTTTTTGTTTACATTTATATAAGCAAATGCATATGTGAAACTCAATTGGCTTTCACAGTTTCACTTTTCTTTCATTTCATTATATTTTTTCCGTTTGAAGCATGTTTTATGCAATATAAACATTTTTCAGTTACATATTTTTGAGGTTATCTTACACAAATTTCAAATATACCGCCAACATTAAAAAAAACTTAATCTGGTGACATTGCGTTGCAACGGTCCAACCGTAAGTGTTGCAAAGTACGCAAAATAAAACTATCGATTAAATTTCTACAGCGCTGCCAGAGCAGTATAACTAGCGAATTGTACAGCACTCGTAGCTTGCAAACGTTCGTGTGTGTATGTGTGCATATTAAAAGCGAAACGAAATATAAACAATTGCAATAAATTGAATAAAAAACTAAAACAATAATAAACAACAAACTACGTAATAGCAAAATCAACGTTTGCCACAATGAATGCCTACTATACGCTTTACTCAGGCGACAATGATGACGAGTCAATTGGCGATGAACGCAGCGAAGAAGGTAAGCAAAACTAATATAAAGTAGAAAAAAACATCAAAAATCTGAAGAAAAGGCAAAGCAGTCGCAGTTGACATTCAATCATGAAACGTTTAACAATTCCAGATACAGACGATGCAAGCGAAACGGAATTTCCCAGTCCGCATCGCTATGGCGGCACCAATGGCAATTCCTCCTCTAACAACAACAATAGCAACAATGGCAGCAGCAACAACAACAATAGTAGCAGCAACAACAACAACAATAATAATAATAATAATTTTATGATGAACAGCAATAATAACATTGGCAGCAATAGCGAGCTGAAAGAACAGTACGTGATTTAAATGATATACTTATAGATATAAGTATAGAAATCAGCCAATCAAACTTTTCTTATTTTACAGAATGTATCAACACAAGCTAATTAGTCTTCACAAGCAGCTTGACGAGCTGAATCAACATTTACATCCCGAGTATGTGAAGCGCTTGCGTAAGCTAGATAATCAGCTAAAGGAACGTCGACGTCTTAACGAGATATACAAGGAGTATATGCGTGAATGCGTTGATCGTGACTATATACTGGAGAAGAATGCGGCGCAAAAGGAATACGATGAGAAAATGATGGATCTCAAAGATAATCTTATAGCTGACTTCGAGGATCGTAAGCGACAGATCGAGAATGAGAGGTATAGCTTGGAGTTAACCAATGATTCGATGGAAATTAAGACAACGGTCACGCGAAAGCTGCGACGGCGGCCCAATGAGCCGCTGCCGGTGATTGAGAAGCGTCGCAAACCGGCAACAGGCCAACTGTTGGTCTATCAACTAGATGATAAGGAAATCGAATCAGATTTGAAGATGATACAGCGTGGCAAACCGATGCCGCTGCAACAGAACGGCATGGGCTCCTACACAAACACCCAACAGCAGCAACAATCACAGCAGCAACAGCAACATCAGCAGCAGCATCAACAGCAACAATCGTCGCATGGAATGATCTCGGATGCGAACAGCTATGTGGAGACACGTATCGAGGATAACAAGCTGCTCTACGAACGTCGCTGGTTCTGCCGCGGCCAGCAGATCTATGTCGAGGGCAAGGATACAAACAAATTTGCCGCCACCATCACGGCTATTGGCAACGAGGTGGTGCGTACAACAAACCACATTCTGTCACATCTGTCTCCTTGTAGATCTAGATCTTCTACCCATAAACCATCCCAATTTTTTTGCATATATACATATACATTCATATATACATCGATATGTATGTAAAGCTTGTACATATAGTTAGATACCTTATCTAGCTATATTTGTAATTGAATCCCAATCTTATATCCTTTACATATCTATAAGCTAATCTCTTTCTCGCACTCTCTCTTTCTATTTCCTTTTAGATCTGGGTCAAACGATCCAATGAGAGCAAATTCAAGATCAACATGTCGCATCTGGCCAAGGGAAAAATCATCATCAAGCGTCGATAGCCCAAGAAGAAAAAACAAGTTAAATAATAATCCAATTTTAAGTGTACATTTAAACCAAGTATGAGAAACTATTGAAAACATTTTGTATATAAATGAAATATATATAATTAGTTTTTATTGTAAATTAAACATGTTTTGAAATGAATTTATTTTTCAAGTCCTCGATGAAACTCATCCATTATAGCTGCATTGCTGATAGTTAATAAGTCTATGATTAACTTCACTCTTAGATGGGTTGTCCAAATCATAAGTCATAAGTCATCACTCGTCTCTCGTCACTCATTATTAGCCCGAATGTGAATTGTAAAATGCGTTCAGCAGATTTTATTTTATATTCTCTGTTCGTCCAGCTGAGCTTCTGCTTATTCAGCCTTGTCTTTCGGCTCGTCTTGTAATTATGTGATGTGATTATGTGTAATTAAGTGATTTGATTTTACTTCGTGTCGAGACGTCCTTCTTTTGACATTCAAAGCTGAAAAGGAAATCTTATAGTGGGACATAATATCAAACGCATCTATCTCGAAGGGAAATGGATATAAAGCGGATATTCTTTAATTTCTGGAATTTAAGTTTTTAAATTCGGCTTCAGTATATATCTCTTTATAAAAAAAGGTTCCTATTTAAGTCTATTTATATGCCGTAAATCCAAGAAAACTATCTTTGATATAAATAAGGAAAAACTAAGCCAGTTAGCAAGGCTTAAATGTCTCACAACTTAAATCTTCGCCTAGGCCTGTGTAGTATTCCTGCATTTGATGACGGATAACTAATGACATTTCATCTGTGGAGTATAACTGTTGTAAGAGACATGTTTGTAAAGGTGGAGAAATTTACTTTCTCGACTAAGTCAGTCGCAGGCTTTAAACATTTCTTAAAGAGTCCTCGCTTTGACCACCTCTATATATTTCTGTTTCTTTCTTAGTTCTATCATAATAGCCAATACTTTGGGGAGGCTTTACTGTGGCTTTCATACAGTAAACTTTGCCTTTACCACATAAATTTACGTGTTTGAAGACGTTTCTTTAGTCTCGTCTTTCTCTCTTTGTTTTATTGTATTATATTGTTAATTGTTATTGATAAGACTAAATCAAGTCTTATGTGATATAGTCATCTATTTTGCCTGTAAATCAAGAAACATAGTATATATTTGAACATGCCTTAATTGTTGACGAGACTGCGAAAAGCTTATCCCATAGTCTACTAAGCATAACTAATGATTTGATCTTTTGCTCAGATAGATCTTTACTTGACAGATAGATACTTTCATATATGTATATAGCTAAGTCAACATATATACATTCTATTCCCTCAACTAACTAACGCACATGTCTATAATGAAGTCGCCTTTATATATAGATATATAATAGCCCTTGGTAACAGAATGTGCTATTCAAAGCAGAGCTTAGTTACACAAGTATCGAACAGACCCGGCATTGCCTTTAGCGGAGGGCCACTGTACAACCGATTCGCTGCTCAAAAGAGCGCGTAAACAGAACGAGAAAAAATTAGATAGACAAATTTCTAGTTTCACTTTGCGCTTGCTTTATAATTATTTTTGTCATCTTGCATTGCTGCAATTTGCTTCTGCTTCATAATACAAAACATACACACAATTTATAGTGTTTTCCATCTTTTGCTGTTGGAATTCGGTTTAAACTTAGTTGAATAGAAAAAAAAGTGACCGTTTTAGTTGCGCGAGCCACGTCCAAAGCCACCGCGGAACTCGACTTCACCGGCGCCGGGTCCAACGTCTCCCTTCTTATCGACACCGCTGCCACCAGGGGCGCGTCTGTAGGCGGAACGATCTTCGCCGGTTTTGGAGGCATCGGCTGGGCCGCGTGGTCCGCCGGCAGCGGGACGTGGACGCAACGGTTCGGAGCGTGTTGGCCTCTTCAGTGTGGAGGGCACAATTTCGGGTGGCAAGTGCAGATAGGTGCGCAGCTCCTCAATGCCCTCGTTGGTCAGATACCAATAATAATGCCTCCAGGCGAACTGTTCCTTGACCAATCCACGAGAATGCAGCGATTGCAAAGCCTTGATCACATGCAAGTTAGGAATTGATTCCAGTTCAGGATGCTTCTGTGCATGGAAATCCTTTTTCGCCACAATGACGCCCTCTTTGAAGAGGTACTCATAAATGGCGACACGATGAGCCTTTGGCATGAACATGCTGCACACAACGAAAACAAAAAGATAAAAAAAAATATAAACATATTAGAATCTCCGTTATTGTTGTTGTTTATATATTCTTATTGTCAAATAATTTGCAAACTGCAATAAATATGCACACAACACGTATATTGACAGCCGTTGCGTTTAACAGCGAATTCAATGCAATTTCATTTAATTAAACACTTTTGCGGATTTGCAATTATTTGGCAGATTTCGTTTTATAAATTTCACGTACTTTGCGTCTTCTATGGAGCAGAGACCGGAAAGAAAGGAAAAGCGAGTTGACAGCTGTCAGCTCTCATATTCTTCTTCTTAGCCGTGTACATGCAGAGCTGCACGGACCTCGCGCATGTGAATGGCAAAACAGCCAGAGTTGCATTTGCGCACAGTTTGTATAAATGTATTTAAATGTATATTAAAATAAGCCAATTATTTATTTAGAGCATTTAATTAAATTAACAAAAAAAACCTAGTTGGGTTGTAGCTAGAATTTTAGAGACTTGGTAAGAGTAATCATTGTTAAGTTATGACGTCATTGCTATTGGCTGTAAATACTACCCCAAAAAACTTGTTGATATTGATTTTATTAAATTACAGTACTTCATATTTGCATTAATTTATTTATTTTATTAATTAAAATTTTTAAAATATTTATATATTCGTTGCACTGAGGAAAACAGTTGGCGCCCATTTTAAATTGGTGATGTGAGCACAAAGTAGATTAATAAAAACTATTGCATATTCCTTGCATATCGTATAGTCAGGAAAAAAGCGCATTGTTATGTGAGCACAAAGTAGATATATTATCGATTAATAAAAACTATCGCAACCTTATTGTATTCTATACTCTTATCGTATTTATTCAACTTATCGCAAATAGCATTTGGCGCCATTATATAAATTTAAAATGTTGAGTATGTACACAACACAAATGCCAGAGTTATAGATAATAAAATAACATCAATCTCTTTACGATAAGTACATTTAGCGATAATATGTATTTAAAATGTATTTACTCTAATAAGGGTAAGGGTTACAGTCACTGTTCTACAATCCATTTAATCTTATTAAAAATATTGTAAGCAATTTAATGATTTCAATTATTTAGATGTGTGCTTAGAGATATTTCTAAGTACACGTTTTCTCGTTGGCCTTGTTGAGACTCGTGTGGACTCTGTCTGTCATATGATAAGATTATATGAAACCTGATCGTTAGGTGTCATATTTCATGCATACATATCTCAAAAATATATAATTATTTATTAAAAGTATTATTTACTTACTCACTAACATGTGACTCATCATGGAAGTAATATATTATTGCTCTTTATTGGGGCTTAATTATTTAGAATTGTTTTTGTTTTTTCACATTTTCAAATTTCAACAGAAGTAACAAATTTTATACGATTAGATTGAGGGCAGCCAAGTTTAAATGTACTTTAAACCAATTAATTCAAAGTTGTTAAAGTACCTGACTACGCTAAATCTAATCGAAAAAAAATGGTTCTTCTAAGAAAATATGCAATTTTTATAATAAATTCACAATTAAGTTAAGTTAGGTCATATTTTTTTTAGATCTTTCCCTTTGTTTGGGTTTCAACTGAAATGTTTTGACAAACGTTTTCATAATTATTAACACCAAAACAGGTTTTCAACATTCGATTAGATAAGGGCTAGACGATACTTATAATCTAGATCTTAATCGACTACACGTGATAAATGGACTTGAATCCCACATGTCAAAACTACTTAGAAAACAAAAAACTTTTGTTAAGACTTGCATTATGTAGTTATGTTGGCTTGGGCTGTGCGTTAATCACCAGTCATTCAGACAATCCATTCAAATAACATTCAATCAATTAGAGTGTCAGTCAGTTATTCTATTAAACAGTAAAATATTCATTCAATCAAGACATTCAATTATTCACATAGTCAATCAGTCATCAGTTTAACAACTAACCTGTCAGAAAGTCAATCAATTAGTCCATTAATTTGACAGGTTGTCACTTAGACAGTCATTTACTTGGTCAGTTAAGAGTCAATCACACAATAATCATTGAGAGAGTCAAGCAGTGAGTCAATCAGTCAAACTGTTAATCAGTTAGTGGTCTTTTAATTTGCCAATGAGTCAGTTACTCAGTCAATTATGACAGTAAGTCAGTCAACTTGACAGTCAAATAGTTAGCCAACAGACACTTAGAAATTCAATCAGTCAGACTGTCAGTGTATCAATCAGTCTGACAGTCCTTCAGTTAGAAATTAATCAAGCAGTCGCAGCTGCGAAACTAAATAGATAAGAAGAAATTTGAATTGATGATTGATCATATATATATATATATATATATATATATATATATATATATCGATTGATTTTCGTATGTATGACAAAACCCTTTCCAATAAGTAGCTCCGCTTATATCATAAAGATATTGCTTTATCTCACTATAAAAAATTAGTAATACATATTTTATAATTCCTATATAATGAATATGTAGTGGCTACTGTAAGCCCAAATTGAACCCAATGCTACTGTCGTGACTAAGAGAATATCCCTAGCTCGGGTAAAAAACAATTGCCCCACTCGTTCGCCATCATAGTGACTCGACGTTAACGCTTGTCGGCGAAACTGCGGGTGAGCGATCAACATTCCACCGCGGTACTGTCTGTCGTTGTGCTCTAATCAATGGCCAATTATTGATTAAGTTCAGACGAATATTTTAAAGCAGATCGCCAATGCTTATCAAGTTGGTATAAAAGGGACCGCCACGGATAGCCATATGATTAGAGACACTGGACATAGCTAGCGAGAATGTTGAAAATTCAGTTTTACTTTCTTGTGTTGTGCGGCTCGGCCTTTGCCTTTGGCAAGGCCAACGGAGAGCCATTAAATATTGAACGTCCTCAACGTTTGATGCAATTGCGCCATCTGGCGGTCGAGTTTGCCGACTACTATCGCAACATAACGATCAGAGATGTGCTATCGCCCACAGCAAAGTTGCCAAATCAGCAGGACCTTCAGTGTGTGGAGGATCTCGCTAAGCTCAGCCAGGGCTTACAAACTGGGAGCCTTTGGGCGCTGCGAAGTAAGTGATAATTATGTGAAAATAAACTAACTCTAACTGTTTCAATCTCGCTCTTGCTCTCGTTCCCTCTCGATGTTTAGTGATTGACTCTTGGGGTCGTTTACCAGCTGGCTTACTGCATGGCAATTTGCAGGATCTGGGCAACTTTGATGAGTGCGTTAGAGTAGACCACCCTGTGGGAAATACGGATTATCATCTGCGCGGTAAATATTGCTTGGCCAAGATAATTCCGGGCAGTTTGTTGGGTGGCGGTTTAGTGCTTACGTCGAGCGTTAAGACAGCTGTTTGCTTTCCCGCCTCATGCACTGCCGCTCAAATGGACCTATTGCTACGGCAGCTCTTTCAACAGCTGCTCAATCTAGAGCTGAACACGGATACGCAGTTGATCAACGCCAGCGGCTGCGACACCGCAGAACAGGAGCCACTCGATGGCCTGGCCATATTTACCATGTAAGTGCCAAGAAAATGATGCACTACGTCTCATTGTTGCTCATCCACATTCGTTTTGGCTTCCAGCGTGCTTTCTGGAGTCTTTGTAGTCGCCTTGCTTTTGGCCACCTGCTACGACTACTTTCTGTGTCAGGATCAGCGTGAGTAGCACTAGCTTAATATAATTTTCATAGAATGTTTTTAATGTTCTTCCTGCACTTATTTAGAGCAATTGCCTGCCTTGGTCAAGATATTCTCGGCACGCGCAAATTCGCGTTCGCTCTTTCGTCTCGTGGATAGCAAATCGAATCCGAACGTCATCGACTGCCTGCATGGCATACGTTGCTTATCTTTAATTTGGGTTGTTTACGGCCATGACGCTATGATTCAGAGCTTAGCACCCAATATCAATCTAGTCGATATTCTTCCGGTAAGTGGCACTGAAATTTATATATTTATTAAGCAGTTGACTGTACGTATGTTTGCTACCTTTCTCGATTGCAGTGGTATAGATCGGCTTATAGCATGTTCATCTTTCATGCCTTGTTCTCTGTGGATACCTTCTTCTTTCTGAGTGGCTTGCTGGTGGTTCTGGTTGGTCTTCGCAGTTTGGAAAGGTAGTAACTCTAATGAAGTAACTTAACCTCACTTAATCATCTCTAACCTCACTATTTTATTTCTCAGATCTAAAGGCAAGCTGAATGTTCCATTGATGTATCTCCATCGCTATTTGCGGCTTACGCCTGTCCTAGCCATCGCCATACTGTTCTTCATGCGAATTCTACCCATCTTGGGCAGTGGCCCGCTGCACAAAGGCTTAAGCGAGAGTTCAGTCGCAGTCTGCGAAGAGAATTGGTTCTTCACTTTGCTCTATGTTCAAAATTATGCCACCAGCAATATGGTAACTGATCAAATGCTCTATATTATCTATATGTGTATATGTGTAAGATTAACATCTAGTTCTGGTCTTTCGTAGTGCCTGAGTCATAGCTGGTATCTGGGCGTTGACATGCAGCTGTATATCATTGCGCCTCTTCTGCTGTTTGGTCTCTACAAATGGGGCAGGAAGGCGGTAGCTGGAATTGTCGTCGTTATGCTGCTATTGGCCGCTTGTCTCTTTAGCATGATGGTAGTCAAAGATTATTCTATGTAAGTATTGCTTTAACAGCTGCTTGATGCTCATGTCAAATATTTCACATAATTTGCCTTCATTACAGAGCGAGAGCAAATGATGGAATAAATAAGATCTACTTCACAACCCACACACGTGCATCACCTTGGATAGTTGGCCTGCTCTTCGGCTACTATCTGCATGTGAATCGCAACAAGAACTTTAAGCTAAATCGTCTAACTGTTTGGCTGGGCTGGCTAGCTAGTTTGGTCCTCATATTCACCTGCATGTTCGCCGTCTATCCATATCAAGCGAATGGCAATCGGCTGCCCATTGTGAATGAAGCCTTCTATGTGACGCTCACGCGCATCGCCTGGCCCGTGGCCCTGGCTTGGGTGGTGTTTGCCTGCAAGTATGGCTATGGCGGCATGGCCAATAGCTTCCTCTCCTCGCCGCTCTGGCAGCCCCTGTCGAAGCTTTCCTATTCCGCATACATCTGGCATGCATTCATTGAGATACACAACCTGAGCATCACACGCACCAACACCTACTTCAGCGACTATCAAGTGGTGCGTATATCTCAATACATATCTAATATCTGCCAGATATATATTTATACATACCTCTACATACATCTCTGTTTTAGATGCTTCGGTTCTGGCATGACTTTGGCTTTACGATTTTGCTGTCCTATGCCATCTACATTCTGTTCGAGGCGCCATTTGCAGGTTTGGAGATGTTATTGCTGCCCAATCGTCGTCCTAGTCCAGAGCCAGTAGAAGCTCCATCAACTTCAAAGATCACAATTGCCCAGTTAGTGCCGTCTCTCATAGAGCATGGTCCACAAATGGAGCAGAAAATAGCTCCAATTAGTTAGGCATTTTGTTATTATTTATAAAAGTAGCTTAGTTTTAATATTTTTATACTATTTATTTAAAACAATTATACAAATTTATTAAATATAGTAGATGTGATATTTAAATATTTTTTTTTAATTTTTTGTCTACCTCTGAATTTGTAACAAAAGCGAATCAGTTCACGGTTGTGAACTAGAATGGAATATGTTAAAATAATATGTTATAAATAATTTTAAGACAAAAATACAAATTTAAGTTGAAATAAAAAATTAATTTTATTACATATAAATTCAAATTTAAAATATATATTTGCTTTGAGAAATATTTAAGGTTTTTAAATATATTCTATCATATATGATAAAAAAAAAAATATATATATGATATGACATATACAAAAAAAAAACATTTTAAATGAAAAATTAAATATTATAATAAAAAATTAAAAAAAATAAAAATTTTAATTTAAATGTTTAACTTTAATTATAAACTGAATAAGTACCTCATAAAACAGTCGATAAACTAAAAAATATAATAAACAAAATAATATAAAAAAGTAAATATTTTATATAAGATATAAAAAAAAAAAACAAAAGGTTTAAAAAAAATTAATGATTAACCAATAGTTAAGCAAAAAAAATTATATAAAAAAATTAATATATTATATATAAAATTACTGTAAGCCCTCTGAACTATTCTAAATTGTTATAGTTCTATAGATAAGCCATTGATTCGACAAGGAGAGTATGCTAAAAAGTCTATTGCTATTACACAGACGTAGTAGACTACGGAACTATTCACTTTTTTTCGACTTAATAAATTGTGGGTCTGTAAAGCCAAGAAGTATGCAATACAATTTAACCTGTCTGTACTTGCTATAACGCTGTCAGTCATCTGTTATCAAACAATTTAACTATAGGCCATGTATAGCTATGCTGCTTAGGACAGCTCTCAATAATCAAACTAAATTTATTTTTCATATTGAAGTTAATGTTGATAACATTTAAGGCTTAGCATAAAATCTCATTTTGGTAGTTTCACACAGTGAAGGAGTATATTGGTTTTGTACATTATCCATTCGTCTGTCCGTCCGATCTTCTGTTCGTAAGGCTACTATTGAAGAAAGAGACTTTGAATTTGGAAATCATACTCGTATCCTCATCTTATAAAGTGTCAAAAGCGGGATATCAATGTGTCATATGCTCATATATTCCTCGTATACCCTAGGGCAAACTATATATCAACTATAAACATCAACTTATGCCAAATGTTACTTTTATTGATAAGCATGCCGGTCACTTTTTTGGTTTTTTTTGGACAGATAATGTTATAAATGGAATAATCATGTTCGAGCGAATTGGACAGTAATGTGTAGTAGCCAAGCACCTTATCAAATTACTGGTTGAGTATCCAACAAACGACTAATCATAATTGATTCAAGGCACCAACAGCTGCGTTATGGTTAACTGCGATCAAAGTCTTTGGAAATCGCTTTGAAGGCCTGTTGCAAGGTCTATGTCGACCCACTTGAGAGTGTGGGCTGCTTACTTTTCTTTTGGGATGAATGAAATGTTATTCACGAAAAACTTATTCAATGATTTCAATTGGGAAATAAATCAGTAAAACTATTTCAAATGAGCTTTTACTTCGGATTTAGTTGTGGCTTTAATTCTAGTTGAATAGCTGATCTAAATGCCTCATTTGAGTTGATTTTTAGTTTTACTATTTATTTTATTAACACTTAAAATACACACAACGCTTCCATTTTGTATATTTTCATTTATAATACAATGAAACCTGTATTTCGTTTCAAGTGGATATATAGCTACTTATAAACATAACATAAATATAAAAAAAGTAATTATATATATAAGCTTATGTGCTCAGAGCTGGAGCAGTGGAAGAGGCTTCTGGAGCTGCTTCCACATCGTTCGCCAGCTGTGGCTGCGGTTGATTATTACTGACTGACCCGGAGCCCTCCCTTGGCTTGGGCTGTGCATCGTTTGCTGGCTTAGGACTGGGTCTTCGAGCGGGCAGAAGCAAGCCCTCCAAACCACCCAATGGTGCCTCAAAGATGATGTACGTCAGATAGGAAATGAGTATAGTAAAGCCGAAGTCCTCCCAGAATTTGAGCATCTACCAAGAGAAGATGGAATCTTAGCAAATAGCAGAAAATTAAAGAGAATATGTTAGCTACCATTTCGTAGTCGGAGAAGTAGGTATTGGACTGATAACGTCTGGCATTAATTTCCTCCATGAACATGTGCCATATGTAGGCGGAATAGGAGAGCTTCGACAGCGGCTGCCACAGCGGTGAGGATAGGAAACTATTTGCCATGCCGCCATAGCCCTGCATGCAGGCAAAAATCACCCAGCAGAGACCTATGGGCCAGCCAATGCGCGTTAGAGAATAGTAGAGCGAATCGGATAATGTCGACAAGTCCCGGCCAATCCACTTAACATATGGCAGCAATGAAAATAGACAGGCAGAAAATATGGCCAGCGCTATTAGCCAGCCACACCAGACCATTAGGCGATTCAGCTTGAAGCATTTGCCACGATTCACATGTAGGAAGTAGCCAAAGACGGCACCAACTAACCAAGGAGTGGCGTGCAGATGGGTGTAGAAATAGAGCAGAGTTTGCGAATTATCCTCATTTCTATAGGAAAAGTGAATTAATATTGGATTTAGGTGGGGTTAGGTAAAGTTATAGAGAGTTTAAGTGGAGTAAATGTCACGCTGAGTAGAGCTGAAGTGATTTGATTTTTAAAGTGACTAAAGATATCGATTGACTGGTTAGATTAAATTAGTGTGAATAAATATGGTTATGGTAGACAATGACAGATTGAATTTAAGCACCTAGACTTAGTTTCAATAAAAGTCCCAAAGTTAGGTTAAAAAGACTTCATTAATGCCTTACTTTTCATAGAAGACTTACTTCATAAACACGGAATGCTTTCCGACCATCATGACAGTAAAAAGCCAGACGGTTAGTAACACGATAAGGACCACTGTGCCAATGGCTGCCTTCTTGCCCCATTTGTAGAGTGCAAAGAGCAATATTGGTGAGAGTATATACATCTGCATATCTACGCTCAGATACCAGCTGTGATCCAAGCACTAAAGAAAGAAAGTGAATTTGACGCGCATGTGAGGTTAAGAGGCACTTACAATTTCCTTGGTAGCATAGTTCTGAACATAGAGCAGCGTCCAGAACCAAGTGCTTTTACATTTCTCAGAGTCTCCGAAGCCTTCATTAGCCAGAGGAGCATCTACCATGCGAGGCATCAATTTCATGTAGACCAATATGGCCATAGCCAGCAGAGGAGTGAGACGTAGATATCGATGCAGATACATCAATGGCACATTCAGCTTGCCCTTGGTTCTGTAATGAATCCGTTTTTATAGAATATTAATTATACTTTTTATAGTGTCGTAGACTCACTTTTCCATGGCACGCAGTGCAACCATAACGACGAGTAGACCACTTAATAGGAAGAAGGAATCCACAGAGAAGAAGGCATGAATTATCAACTGCGCAAAGGGTTTTTCAGCCCACTAGAAAATCAAAAAATATCAATTTAGTCAAATTATAGTGGAAAGCCGAAATAGGAGAGATCTTTCAAGCTGACTTACGTAGATGAAGCCTAGCCCATTGACATTGGGACCTTTGGCATTGAGCATATATTCATGTCCGAAGATTACCCAGATGAGGGACAGACAGCGTATGCCATGCAGACACTCGATAACATTCGGATTCGACTTCGGCGGGGTAATGCGGAAGAGTGAACGAGATGTAGCTCGTATGGAGAAGACTCTGATCAAAGCAGGCATTTGCACTAAGTATTTATAAGAGTTTTTAAAACTTGAGTATTACAGAGCTTGAGGTGTCTAACAGAAGCAACTTACCTTGATCCGAGCATAGGAAATAATCATATAAGGTGGCTAGCAAAGCCAAGGCAGCAAATATAGATAGGAGAACACTGTTAAAGAGCCAACGAATCAGTGATATTGATTGATTATGTCACCTTTCGTATTTCGAATTTCCTTCACTTACATAGTCAATATAGCAATGCCATCCAAAGGTTCTCGTTCCTTGGTCCGACAGGTCTTTTCGTTCACCAAGCCCGTTGTGCTATTCAAGCCAATCAATTGTTGAATGACCTTACCAAGAAATATGTCCATATGTCCAGGCGAACAACTAGAAGGAAAGCAAATGCCAATCCTAAGTTTCTTGTCCGAGGGGATGCCCAACATTTGCATAATGGGTATCTCGGTAAAGCAGTATTTGCCCTTGATCGAATGGCCGCTGCTCACTTCCTTGCTGATCTTGATGCATTCACCATAGTTGCCCATATCCAAGAAATTCAAATAGAATATGCCCGATGGTATAGAGCCCCAGGAATCGATCACTATCGAACGAGAGTAAGAGATCATGTTTTTGTATTTTGTATTTTGATTGTGACCCTATTGATTGTAACACACTCTTCATGGACCACAGACGGCCCGATGTGAGATCGTTCATCCATCGGCCCATATCGGCCATGCACTGCAGATCGTCTTTGTTGGGCACCCGTGTGTTGAATATATCCAGGTCCTTCACAGTTCTATTTTGAAAGTATTGCGTGAATTCCAGGCTAAGCGACTGCAGCTTTCTGATCTGTTGATAGTCCACGCGCTCTATCTGGTAGTTCTGTGGTAGTTCCAGATTTATACCCGTGGCGTTCATCGTAGTGATCAGCCCACAGAGCAGGCACAACAAAGTTCCGATTGTTTTGACCATTTTTTGCATTGTGCTTATTGGTACTACGCGTGGCCTTTATATATAGTTTGTCCACATCGAACCTATCTCTAGAGATAAGCGTTACTTTTATCTGTAGCGCACTTTTAAGTGATTCCCGTTTTTAATCTATATATGTACTTCTTGCTAAAGGTTTTCAGGAATTGCAATAGTCTGCCAAGAATATCATGATTTCCATTTAAAATACTTTAAACAAGTAAGAAAGCTCTAGTCGGGGTGCCTGACTAGGAGATACCCTGATCCCAGTCCTATTTGCCTTTATTAATATTTTCCGTAGCTTGTATCGAGTATTCAAAAAGAAAGAAAACAAATAAAAAACGACATTACGAGACCAACGTGCACAAACTCTACCAACACCGCCACTTCAAAATTAAAAAAAATTTTATCAATAAAATATATTTCAACTCCACCGGTGTCGAACCCTGGTATTTGCTGCATACGAGCGCCGCCTCTACCAACGCAGCCACTGCAGCTCTCGATTCTGGGAATAGAAAAGAATACACGCATTTGAATGGATTCTAATGAAATTTTCAGCATATGATCTACATATCCTATTGGCTTGAGATGCAAGCGCCTTCACATAATGGCCCTAGTTCCAACTGAGCTTAAATTTTAAGAATTTGGGGAAATTTGGAGCCGGTATCCAAAATCCAACAAAAACCAAAGTTGCATAAAATATGCATAAAACTAAATACAGAATTAGGAGGCTCTATCTCGTTAGACGTTCGAGATATAATTTATTTACTGTATTTCAATAATGTTTTTATTCGACTTAAAACAAACTTGACCTGCGCGTGCTATACACGGAACTACACAGTTCACAGACAGCCGGACAGGACTCAATCGACTCGGCTTGTCGTCCTGATCAAGAATATATATACTTTATATGGTCTGTTACGCCTCCTTCTGCCTGTTACATACATTTGCAAAAAAACCGTTATACTCTGATTTCCAATTTTCAATGGGATCAGGGTATAAAAAGACTTAGCTTAGTCTTTGATTATCAATGTTTATATAAAATCACATAACTCAAACTTCAACAGAAGCCAAATGAAATACATTAATATGTATAATATGAATATATGAATGCGAGGTGAATAAGCAAATCATTTTTGATTAGATAGGGTATTTCCATGTAATGACTTCTTCAATTATTCAAGCACGTCTACGTCTACGTCTACTTATACTTATACTTATACTTATACTTATACTTATACTTATACTTATACTTATACTTATACTTATACTTATACTTATACTTATACTTATACTTATACTTATACTTATACTTATACTTATACTTATACTTATACTTATACTTATACTTATACTTATACTTATACTTATACTTATACTTAACTTATACTTATACTACTTATACTTATACTTATACTTATACTTATACTTATACTTATACTATACTTATACTTATACTTATACTTATACTTATACTTATACTTATACTTATACTTATACTTATACTTATACTTATACTTATACTTATACTTATACTTATACTTATACTTATACTTATACTTATACTTATACTTATACTTATACTTATACTTATACTTATACTTATACTTATTATACTTATACTTATACTTATACTTATACTTATACTTATACTTATACTTATACTTATACTTATACTTATACTTATACTTATACTTATACTTATACTTATACTTATACTTATACTTATACTTATACTTATACTTATACTTATACTTATACTTATACTTATACTTATACTTATACTTATACTTATACTTATACTTATACTTATACTTATACTTATACTTATACTTATACTTATACTTATACTTATACTTATACTTATACTTATACTTATACTTATACTTATACTTATACTTATACTTATACTTATACTTATACTTATACTTATACTTATACTTATACTTATACTTATACTTATACTTATACTTATACTTATACTTATACTTATACTTATACTTATACTTATACTTATACTTATACTTATACTTATACTTATACTTATACTTATACTTATACTTATACTTATACTTATACTTATACTTATACTTATACTTATACTTATACTTATACTTATACTTATACTTATACTTATACTTATACTTATACTTATACTTATACTTATACTTATACTTATACTTATACTTATACTTATACCTATACTTATAGGTATACTTATACTTATAAGCTCTGTGATAGTCTTAAATTGCTTGGGACATATGCTCATTATCTGAGGCACGTGTCAAATTATTTACATAATACCTATATAGAGATGAAACCGAATTCCCCGTTCGGTACTCAATAAAATAATCAATTTAGCTATCATTAATTGGTTACGATCCATTTGAAGTCAGCTTTAGCGAGTGACTCAGACATAAATATTGAAAACTTAGTCACTAGCCAATGCTTAAGATAGTATTCCTACCTGTCATATTTTTTATTGTTCTCAGTGAATGGTGTACGAATTCTAGTATATGCCATAATTAAGCCATGTCCTTCTAATAAATAACGAATAATAACGAATATATTTTCTATACCCATCTTAACATTTATAACAATTATGTGTAGCCAAAACACTGCAGCTGCCAAGACTCTTTATCTACCCAATTGACTACTTGTGTAGCTAATAGCCTTACTACGAACTACTATAGCTGATAAGGCAAGCGATTGGTTCTCTTTGGCTTAACTAGATGGCCATAAACTGATCCATTCACTGATAAAGCTGATATAGGTATTTAAAAATATGTTGGATAATAAGATTGCCTTAAAGTATTAATGATTTTGATATGCCCTGTAAATAATGTATATATATACATTATGTGATTATATGTTATATTTAGACGAATAAATAATACATGATAATATAATATATATATAATATAATATATATAAGGTAGATTGTGGTATTTCAAGTAATCAGGGTTTTGAGTGAATGCTATCAAATGCAGGCGATTTAAAATTTCAGTAGAAGTAACAACTATGAAAGCTCTTGCCGGGTCCCAGACCTGGGGGTTACCCTGATTCCAGTATTACTTGCGTTCTTATAACATTTTTCATAGTTTGTTTCAAGCATTAAAAAAACATTCATAGGAAATACATGTATGCGTGCGTTAGAAGTTGCCGTAAAAAGCTACAAAATTCTACGCGTTCACACATAAAGACAGACGGGCAAAGCTAAATCGACTCGGTTTGTCGCCCTGATACTTTATAGATCTGCCACACTTCTGCCTATAACATACATTTTAACAAAACCATTATATATAATGGTATAACAATAAAATAAAGAAAAATAAACTAATAGATTCCATTTGAAATTAATATATTTATTTACTAATTATAAAATCTACTTAACATTGTAAATAAAAAAAATGCATTATCTATATATATATATATATATATATATATATATATATATATATATTTATATATATTAAATTATGTATTTACAGCTGAAGCACTGGAGGAGGTATCTGGAGCTGCTTCCACATCGTTCACCAGCTGCGGCAAATCCGCCTTCTCGCTGAACTGATTATTCCTGACTGGTTCGGAGACCTCTCTTGGCTTGGGCTGTGCATCGACCGCTGGCTTAGGACTGGGTCTTCGAGCGGGCAGAAGCAAGCCCTCCAAGCCACCCAATGGTGCCTCAATAGTAATGTACGTCAGATAGGAAATGAGTATAGTAAACCCAAAGTCTTCCCAGAATTTGAGCATCTACCAAGAGAAGTAGAAGATAAAGTCTTAGGAGAAAATTAAGAAAATGTTAGCTACCATTTCATAGTTGGAGAAGTAGGTATTGGTCTGATAACGTCTGGCATTAATTTCCTCCATGAACATGTGCCATATGTAGGCGGAATAGGAGAGCTTCGACAGCGGCTGCCACAGCGGTGAGGATAGGAAACTATTTGCCATGCCGCCATAGCCCTGCATGCAGGCAAAAATCACCCAGCAGAGACCTATGGGCCAGCCAATGCGCGTTAGAGAATAGTAGAGCGAATCGGATAATGTCGACAAATCCCGGCCAATCCACTTAACATATGGCAGCAGTGAAAACTCACAGGCAAAGAATATGGCCAGCGCTATTAGCCAGCTACACCAGACCATTAGGCGATTCAGCTTGAAGCATTTGCCACGATTCACATGTAGGAAGTAGCCAAAGACGGCACCAACTAACCAAGGAGTGGCGTGCAGATGGGTGTAGAAATAGAGCAGAGTTTGCGAATTATCCTGATTTCTATAGGAAAAGTGAATTAATATTGGATTTAGGTGGGGTTAGGTAAAGTTATAGAGAGTTTAAGTGGAGTAAATGTCACGCTGAGTAGAGCTGAAGTGATTTGATTTTTAAAGTGACTAAAGATATCGATTGACTGGTTAGATTAAATTAGTGTGAATAAATATGGTTATGGTAGACAATGACAGATTGAATTTAAGCACCTAGACTTAGTTTCAATAAAAGTCCCAAAGTTAGGTTAAAAAGACTTCATTAATGCCTTACTTTTCATAGAAGACTTACTTCATAAACACGGAATGCTTTCCGACCATCATGACAGTAAAAAGCCAGACGGTTAGTAACACGATAAGGACCACTGTGCCAATGGCTGCCTTCTTGCCCCATTTGTAGAGTGCAAAGAGCAATATGGGTGAGAGTATATACATCTGCATATCTACGCTCAGATACCAGCTGTGATCCAAGCACTAAAGAAAGAAAGTGAATTTGACGCGCATGTGAGGTTAAGAGGCACTTACAATTTCCTTGGTAGCATAGTTCTGAACATAGAGCAGCGTCCAGAACCAAGTGCTTTTACATTTCTCAGAGTCTCCGAAGCTTTCACTAGCCAGAGGAGCATCTACCATGCGAGGCATCAATTTCATGTAGACCAATATGGCCATAGCCAGCAGAGGAGTGAGACGTAGATATCGATGCAGATACATCAATGGCACATTCAGCTTGCCCTTGGTTCTGTAATAAATCCGTTTT